ATCTCCGGAATTTCACAGAAACGGATGGTTTGACAAGCTTCTGCCTTCACTCAAAAAATGGCGGCAGAATGTTTTGCTCTTGGGTCAGAGCAATATGGGCAAGAGCTTCTTCATGAAACGGCTCCTTGCTCACGTTCGTCCGAAAAGGCTGTACGTCATCTCGAACACCTCCGCTGATCAATATATCCAACCTAACACGGTCTTGATGCATTATTCCGTCATGCCTGAATCGATCGAGCATACGAGTATACAACCGGAGTCCTACATCATCATCGACGACATCCGCGTCATGAATCTCAAATGCGGAACGCAGAGGGAATGCCTCTATAAGTTCTTTACGATGTATAGCCATCATCTGAAATTGAACGTCTTCTTCCTCTCCCAGAGCTTTGACAACATATAGGACATGAAGTTTAACACAAACTTTCTCTATCTCTTCCGATTCACGGATAAGTCGAACGTGACGCGGTTTCTTAATTCGCTCTTCGGCGGCACGGGCAATAAACCGGCTCTCATCTTCAAACTGTACGAGAAACTCTTGACCCGCTGCGAGTGCCCGATCCTCGCGATGGACTGCACCAATCAGCGATTTGTCTATTATTGCGGCGACGAAAAATCTATTGCGGTGGACTTTCAGTGAAAGCTTTGCTTTCTTCGTCATTGCCAAAAAAAATCTGAACAAGAATTAGAGAAAGAAGTTCAGGAGGGATATCACCAGATTTTTTAGCGTATGTTTGAAGAAAATGGAACATATTCGAGTCCGGATCGCCGATGGTCTCCCACAGCGGCTTGAGCGGGTGGCGGATGGTTATCTGTCGGCCTTCCTCATCCCAAAGAGGCGGCGGCTAGAGGTCCTCCAGTTTATCGAGAGCCAACCCGAGCACATTATTAAACGCGCTAAGACCTTTATGGAGGTGTTGGGTTATCTCTCCGAAGGGGCCCGAGCAAAGGGCGCTGGAGCACCAAATCGCTACCGGGATTTCATCTCCTTCCTGCGCAAAGCCTTGCAGCATATACCAACCTGTCCCCTTGCTAATTTGAGCTTGCTGGAGCTTAAAAAAACACCCTAGCGTGAAAGAGATCTATGCCTTGTTCGAGGGCTAGCCTGAGCTTCTCAATGAAGAGTCGGTCCTGAGCGCGGTCAAATCCAGGATGCTGAACTATTCTGAAGATACAGGCCAAGTTCGCGACAGCGTCGCTGACGTCCGTTTGAAAAACCAACTCCCGGCGGTCACTACAACCGCGCCTTCTCTCCAGACTCGGAAAGAGGGGGAGTTCGATCGCTTGCTGCTGCTCGTCTTTGGCCGCTTTCTGGCGGGCCAGAAGATTCCCGAGGCCTTTCTCAAAAGCAACTATTTCACTCCGCGTGCGCAGCTGGTACAATTGTTTACGGAAAACCGTCAAGGGTTTGAAGCCAAGCTCAGGGAGCCTCAGGCGAATCAGGATATGCGTCTTGCCATCGTGGCTGACTATCGCGTGCTTGTGAACAACGTAAACCAACAGTTTCTCTGTAGGTATCCCTTTGAGGTGATCGCTAACGCCGTAGACGACTTCGGCCATCCCCAGTTTCGCCTGGCGAGGCAGAAGTTGCAGGAGATCAAACAGCATCCTCTTGCGGTACCGGCGTCAGGGCAGAAGTTAGGTGATTTGACGGCCTTGCTTGAGACCTACTCCAAAACACCCGAGAGCAAACTTATAAATTATGATCGTCATTTTATGCCTGGAGGCGTCAGAGGCAAGATGACTAGCGATGCTGCCTTTATTAATGCGCTCCTTATTAACGGGAGCCGCATCATTAGCAGGTGTCTTGCTATATTGAACGCTCAAGGCCTTGTTTGAATGTTTTATGGACATGGCATTTGGACGACCACTTGGGATAAGACGGCGGCTGCTTCGGTGATCAGTGATCAGGAGAAGCAGCTTGCTCGTTTGCAGGATGATGTGGTGCAAAACAAAACAAAAATTGGGAATGAGGATACCGAGGGCACTCTCTCTCATACTGTCGCACAGCTGAAGGTAAAAAAGCTCGACCTCCATGGCCTTGATGACCGTTTGGATGGTTTACAGAAAATTGCTACAGGAACGCTGCTTGATCTCGTACGACAGGACGTTGTGGTGGCGCGGTTTGGGGAGGGTGCGAATCTGAAGAATGGCAAGATACAGATTCAGAGTCTCTGGATTGAGCGGGCTGAAAACGAGTTGTATGATATGAGCAGCGGTAAACTGCGAGAGGCTTGGGGTTGGAACTTCCATCTCTTTTGGCGGGGTGATGGCACCTCTCTTCTCACTCGATATGCCGCAGTCCCGCGGGTAGCCTCGGACAACCGGGGCACGTACGGATACAATTGGAGACGTACCTATAGGTTGTATTATCTTGAGTTTCCCTGATACATATCATCAGCATGGTGTTAGATTTGTGTATGACCCAAGCAGTCGAGATTTGGTTCCAAGCAAGGAAACCTCCTGTGACGAATTTAACGCGCTTCCGCTGCCTATACGTATTACTCTGCAGGCGGAGAAGGTGGCCGGCGGATGGTCTCCGCTGGCCCGGTTCTCAGCTCGAGTTGAGTGCTTCGCATGGGGATCGCGGCTGCTGTAAACGATGTTGCGACAGTCCGGCTGAAAGTGAATGATGTCGAGAAGACAACTTTCGAAGTGCGCAAGCCACGCGGGCAGGTTTCAGCCTTCACAGTTTTCGACTCTGCATTAGAGGTTGACGCGGGGGCCGTTATTGGGTTTTCTTCAACGGACGCTACCGTTGGTTTTATAGTGACATTGCTATTGGAGCAGTATGACCTCGTGTGAGCCCTCCGCGCCCCCTTCTTCACCTCCGGTGTCGACGGCGACTCTCTATCCTACGCTGCCTACTGCGAGCGATGCCTGAAATACGTACCGATTACAGAAGATTTCAGAAGTTGAAGCTCGCTTGCACACGGAAATGGAAGCCCGCCAAACGCTCTACAAAAAGTACAAAAGAGCTGTGAACGGGTTAGACGGCGCGGGCATTGCGCTGTTTGCTATCACTGTGGCAGTGCTGTTAGCGGCGTGGCCGTACTCAGTACGGTCGTCTTAACTCCTGTCGGGATCGCGCTCGAAGGCCTAGCAGCTGTTTGCGGCACGGTCACTTTCGCTGGTCTGGTCGTGAGCCGCAGATTGGACAAGAAAGCTGAAAAACACGATCGCATTCGGACGTCCGCTGAGACCGTGCTCCGAACAGTCTCGCTGATCACGAGCCGAGCGCTTCGAGATGGGAACTGCAGCGAAAGTGAGTCCCAGTTCGTTTTGGACGAAGCAGAGCGCTTCGCTTCGTCGAAAGACGAAATTAGAAGCCAGACAAAGAGAGCTCTCCGCGAACAGACGCGAGCGCTAGAAGCACAGCTGGGCGCTGCGTGGCGTGAGGAGGGCATTCAGCTCGGGCGCATGGACGCTCTGAAAAAAATCCAGCGTCAAGTGGCTAATGGCGATTCACGCTAGACATAAACTTTGTGCGCCATTGACAGTGTTGCATCATCTTGGTGTGACAGTTTTCATCACACCACCTACGCCAGGGGCTACAGATCGAAGCTGAGATCATAATAAATCACAGCGTAAACATCTGTTTTGTTCGCGAGGGAAAACCAGTAGTTGAATAAAACGGTGTGTATGAAATAGTGTCAGTGGTATGGAGTGTTTGGCATGTCAAACTGGCGCTATGAGCGTCATGAATTTAGCCGAGCATTTCAATGGTCGGCGGCATAATCGTGCGTGGTTGGCTGGCAAAGCTATGAAATTCGTTTGCCACTTGTGTGACGACAGCGGCGGGGATGTGGAATGGCTATGTAAGCATGTCGAGTCGCCTGGGCACCGAGAAAAGCTAGTTGAGGAGCTGATGGGATCTAGGGGGTGGCCTCACCGCTTCCTCCGGGCTGCTCCCAAGGAACTGCAACGGCAAGTTGTGCTTGCGAGGGAGTGAGTAGATGCCGACCTCCGCATGTTGGACTGGGTCCTCGAGGGGAACTCTCTCGACGAGTACTAACTAATTATCACATCAGAACTAATAGACCCCGACGGCCGGCCGCGCAGGCACCGGGGGTGGGCCGGCCGTCTTTGTCTCCTGCCTTTGTCCTGGGTTTGACATTCGCTGTAATTATGCAAGCATACGTACGCGAGCTAGGGCTGGGGCGCTTAGATTTGTGTATTATCCTTCTCAAAATGTCAGTGCGCCAGAAATGGCGCTTTCTCAGAGTGCGCCAGAACCAGCAGCCTCTAGACCGGGGGTGCTCTAAAACTGGCAGTCTCCAGACCGGGGTTGCGCCAGAACCAGTAGTCTCTATACTACTGTTAAATCCATGTATAAGACATTCATGCAAACTGATTGCTCCCAAATGAATAAAGTGTCATGTGAGATCTGAAAGTCCGCAGCAGCTCCCATAAACACAATATTGTCAAAGCAGCCAAGAATTGAGGGGGTAAAAAAGTGGAAGCAGAGAGAGGGTATGACTGCTTTTGATGCCCCAGGAACATCACAATTGGAACAACAAAGTAATATACTGCAAGAACTGTATTCTATTAGAAATAAAAGCTTCTAAGTTGTTTGTTGGATGGGTGAGAAACTTTCTGGGTTTCTGTTGGATAGGTGAGAATATTTTCACACTTGCATCAAAGCTTGTATAAGCCATAAAAGTTGTTTTTTTCACAGCAAACAAAAGTAAAAGTTACCAACACCATTGAAAATGCCCGAGCTAGACCGAAGTGCTCTAAATGTGGCAATTTGATGAAGAACATTGTCTGAGTGCCAAAAAAACAGAAATTGATGTGGTTAAAGAGGGAGGGAAATGCGAAGACAACTAATGGAACCAATGTAGCAAAAGAAATCATACTGTTTATTGGGTTTAAACCACAGTCATGTGAGGAAAAATAGCACAAATATTCAGATCTGCTTGTATTATTTTAATTTTTTACTCTTCATCAGATGTTTCTCCTTCATAACCCACGAAACTTTCATCTTTAGGTGGCATAAATTGTTTTCTTATAGAGTGATATGCACATGATGGAAGTGAACATCTTAGTCTTCCAAGGCGTCCATGAACAAAATAAGTAAACTCTCTGTAAGCAATATTCTGTAAAAATCTGATAGAAAATAGAACAACTTTATTCAAAGATGGTTAATCCATGGGAAAATTCAGCATAAAAACTTATGTTTCTTTAGACTTTGTTTGAGAATAAACTTGTCTTCTCCTTGTGCAGAGTTTGCGAGCTGCATGCCGTAAAGACCACCTGTTTAAACATATAGGAGAAAATGCAGGATGGTGTGTAATGCACAAAGGGACTTCAGAAACTTCCAAAAGAAGTTATTCATCATAGAGAGTTGTAACACATGCGTTGATCTCCTGACAGCACAGACATTCAAAGGCATTTTGCAACAATTCTGTGTTGCAGTATCCGCACGTACACCTACACAAGCAAAATAATATTGAAAATTATTTTGATGCAATTATAATGCTCTAGCGTAGACATTGAGGTGAGTGATTTATGCTTTGGGAAAAGTAAACACAAAATGTAAGATCTTTACCATTCCTCCAGGGGTTTTGACCCATCTAGTCGCATTCTTTAATGGCTCAATCTCTCTTCGTCTTCATGTAGTTCATTTTCGTATCGTTCTTGCCAGTCTTCACTAGCTAAAGGAAAAGATTAGGTGCAAAATCCAGACTTTGAAGGGGAATTAAAAGAAAAGTTTTTCTTACTATCGATTTTTATTAATACGAATATGTGTTTTAAGACATGTTATTTCGAACAAGACCAAAACGCCATAAGGTTTATATGCACTTTAAAAATATAATGATATGAAAATGTTTGGTCCTTTCTCGAGTGTTTATTCTCAAATGCGTTATTTGAAAGTTAATTACACAACAAGAGTAAACGCTTTAATAATTTTGACGATAACACTGACATTTCGGCCAAAATAATGAAAACAATAAATAGAAAAACTGTTTGACTGTTTAATAAATCTCAAAGAAATTTATACCAGGCTAAACTTTGTGTTTTTCATTAAGTATTTTGATATTGAAAGCATAATATGTATTGTAAGTATAATATGTATTTAAAGTATATTTTGACCCAGTAGTAGCATGCCAGCGTGATAGCTTAGTTTTTCAGCAATATCAAATCTTCGCACAGTTTCTAAAGCACTTGCGAAGACAATTTATAATTTTACGCAATACTTCGATTTTTATGGCAGTTTGAAAATGGCTTAGTTGTCATTTTACCCAGAGCCCTCTATTAGTAAGAGTTGGGACAAACGGTCTGGGGCGAGCGCGGAGCCGCCATTTTGGTTCCTACTTGCAAAGTGAAACTATAATAATACTATTGGAAATTGTGTTTATATGCAAAAGAAGAAGGCAATTTAAGCTTATTCCATGGTAGTATCAAATATATTATGAATAATAGCAAGCTCTTTGCGTTTAACGATTTTAACGATTTGCGGCAGACCTGATTTAATTTCATTGGTTTGAGCTTCGTACGTGAACGTGTTTTCTCGGCTTATGTTCCGACACTGTAACAAGTTTTTAAGATCTTTAAGATTGGTGGCAAGCGGCAATATTATCCTGGCATCAGTGTTATCAAATAGTTGGACAAGACTTTGTTCGAAACTTCGAATCATAGAAATCATGCAGTTTTGGTCCGGAAAGATTTGTGTTCAAGATTTGTAACAATTTAATGGTAGTGAGTGGTTTATGCCCCCCAATTTAATCCAAGCATGATATTTTTTATTCTAAAAGATCACAAAATTTTCTTGCTCAGCAGAAAATGACAGACTTTTTTACTTTTTAGTTATTGAAATATGCAATGATTTGACCAAGATGCATTTGACCTTAAACGTTTTATTCCTTTATATGAAGTTATTTCGCCTTTATCACTTTATAAAGTATTAAAGTTTATTTCTAATAAAGTTTGTTAGGGATTCTGCTTAAAATTTTGGTGAAGCATTTCTTTCAAATGAATATATTATTTCTATAACATGAAACATTTCTGTTGTTGAAGAACAGTCTGTTTGCTATAAATGCTACTGTTTGTAGTCATTTATACAGCATATGAGCCTGATCCAATCTTTAATTTAGCAAAGATTTAAATTTATTGGTTGAGGAATGACAAAACTTCTATATGTGTTTAATGATCAAACAGGGGTGTGTTGGAGGGAGCTCAGCCCCGTTTGTTCAAATTCTATGCCTTGTATTGCCAGTGAAATATATATATCAAAAAGCTAGCAGCACCTAAATATATATCAGAAAGCCAGCAATATTTTAATATATATGAGAAAGGCAGCAACAGTTGTAATATACATTAAAAAGCCCAAATAGCTGAAATTATGGAGATATGCCTCTGTGATCTTATAAGCCAAAACCTACAATTAAAATATCATCAACAAGTCTAGAAGAGAAGTAATGTTCTACTTTGAGCTACAGAAGTAGGGTACATTTGTACAATTCAATACCAAAAATATATTGTACTCAGCTGTTTCAGTGAACATCCTAATTATAATTACTTCATTTTTAAATGATGAACTAAAAATACATAATACAACATGGAAAATCATAAGAGTTTCTGTGATTTGGTGTAGTTGTTTGTTTTAGTGTGGAAGTGGCTGAGAATTGAGAGGTTTGTAGATTGACCAATTTCACAACATAATGAGAAATCATCTTCGATTAAAAAACAAGCTTTGGAGTAAGAAAACTATTGAAACTGCATCAGCACGAACTTTGCAATGTTATTTGGCCCAAAAATGGTTCTCTTCTTGAGTCAGTTGATTGAACCTTATATCAAAAGCAGTTGAGCACAACAATCACCATACGCAATCAAATTTCGTAAGTTCGACGTAAAGGCATTTCTTTCATTTTTTTCGTAATCCTCGATTCTTGCGATATGTAGTGACATTTAGTAGCCTTCAACAATCAGTTATTACACACTTATCCATAAAAAAACGCAATATTATCTCAAAATACTGTATTACTAGCAGCAATTGCTTTATAAACACAAGCTCAAACTTCAAAACTAGGAACCAACATGGCGGAAATTGATCAGGTGATCAATATTGCCCAATCAACGTAAGCTAAACGAATAACAATAGATGTCCCAACTCTTACTTATAGAGGGCTCTGATTTTACCTGGCTCACTTCCGAATCATGTAGGGATATGGAACTGGCATTATTTGTGACGTCATGCAAGGTACTCATGCAATCAATGATATAAGTACAGCATCTATATACAAAGTGTCTGTAAAATATTTGGTTAAAAAAGATGGTTATAGTCTTGTTGCTGCTAATTGCACTAATGAGGACCACTCTCAAAGATATTGTAAGTCTTAACGTGATCCCGTTTTCAACGATGACCCGTTTAAAGCCCAAAAGCGAAGAAAAATTTGAGTCGATAACACGAACGGGTCTTTGAACTGTCAGAGCCCGTCATCTACGCTTTCTCTGACTTTTTCAAATCTTAGGATTTGAGAAGAGATTTGTTATGTTACCCATCCAAATGAAACCAGATCATCAAATAATGAGGACTGATACAATCTGAGTTATTATAGGCATTAAACGCCAGCATAGATCCTCTAAATTGACATGAATATTGCCAATTGCCATCGTTATTCATTTATTGTTATTAATGAATGGCTCTTCGTTTGTAACATACCCAGCTGTAAAATTTATATGCCTGTTAAAAATGAAAGTGAATTCATTGCAAGAAATGACTACCAAATAAAATGAATATTTTATATTGACCAAATTCATCAAGAACAAGGCAAAGTCGCAACGCTTTTGAATGTAAACCAAGAAAGCTCAAAGAACAGAGCGAAATGCGAATATTATACGTACGTCGTACTCTACCAAACGGTCAAAAAGCTATGAGTAGTGTACGTTTTTGACATGGCTGTTTCACCGGTGACATTTCAAATTTCTTGCAAATTCAAAATCATCCCGACAAAGCATTGTTACGACAATGCCTATAACTCAAAAATATTTGCCCGTAGATGACCAAATTTGCCGACAGAACGATGGTTGGGGGGGTCCGGCACCCCCGACTCTCCCCATTGCAACGCCCCTGTGTAAAAAGTAGACGTTATATCTAAAAATTAATTTTTAGATATAATCTAAAAAAATTTTTTAACTAAAACACTCTAAATAAACAACGTATTCAATAGGACGAATAAAAAAAGTTATTTTAGCGGCACTTTAAGCATTACTTGCTGCTGGTAATTAACACTATTCAAGGTAATTTAGACTATTTGATGGGAATGGCAGGAATTTAAACATACGAATATGAATATACATAAAAGATAAAAGTTTCTCCGGATTTTAAATGATTTTTATTGAGCTTTCGACTCGTTGCTTCGAGCCTCCATCAGAATGAGGATATTATTTATTTACACGTGCTTTTAGCTTGGAGACGTTTAGAGCGTCGTTGTTTGCATTTGTGTAGGAAGTGAAGCTGCTCCAATGTTGATGACTCTTTACGTGCGAATAATTCCCATTTTCTTGTTCTTCTGAGAATATCTATCCCATATGTCGATTTTATAAGTTTGAAAATTGGTAATCCAGGCATTTAATAACTTTTATCTTTTATATATTAAATGCCTGGGTTATCAATTTTCAAACTTATAGAATATAAATATGAACATAAAAATTATCACTACTCATAAAAAAAGTACGTGGGTGCATAAGTTGAGCCTGTCAAGTATATCAATAAAATGAAATAGATTAATGAGCATTGTAAAAATAATAGTATGTTTTCAACCGTATTTACATGAAATTTGTTCGTGATATGTGCTTAATGTTAAGTCAAACGAAAACGTGCTTATGACTTGGATTAATTTCTATTTACATATGTAGGAAATTTCTGGCCAACAAGTCGTTTTGTTTGTTGTTAAAGTTTGCCTCGCAATATCTTCTTTCTCCCAAAATTTTCGCGTGTTTTTCAAACTCTGTAGAAACTTGGAAAATGTTTTCTATTTCTTTAATATTACCCATTTGCATTAAAAAATAAACAAAAAAATATGACTACTTTACTTTATGTATTTAAATTTGCTGCCATTAAAATTCAATCATTTCCGGTATTCGCTGCCATGATGTAAAGATTTTTGCTATGGAAATTTTTGTAAGTTTTATTTAACTTTACTTTCATTTAATGCATGGAGTGCTAATATAGTAAGTTTCAAAATATATAAAGCTACTGCAGAGTTTATCAAAAAAGTAGACAGGTGGGACAACGTCGCTAAATTGGCAAGCACGCAAAGTTTGCAAAAACTTAAGAAGCAGATATAGATAGTTATGAGGAGTTCCAATGGTTTATTTTCTTTCTTGAATGACCTAATCCACCCGACTTTCCATCGAATATTCCCCGACTGGCCTTTCTTCCCCACAAGTTTTACGGCTATGCTTATAAGAATGTTAAAAAGTGGAACACCTTCTTCCTGAGGTTTTACAATATAAATGGCGGGAAGTGGAATGCGCTATGTAAGAGTTACAAGGAGTGTCAGTCCACTTATCGGAATCTTCCGTGTAGTACGTCATTGGCCGATTTTTCATGGCCTATTTTTTTCAAATGATCAGCTAGCTCCTTCCGACTAAAATCCGACTTGTTTATTATTTTCAGTACTTCTGCAGCTTTGCTGTGTGGACTAGGATATTGCAAATTGTTGTTCTTTATGTTGGTAACCTTGTCCGACATCTCATCACAAAGTCTGTCATCATTTCCCCCTATCTTTTGTGAAAGTTCATCGATTGAAATCGACGAGAGCCTCGTACCATCCTCACCTGGATCATCTGTAACAACAAATATCAGCAATAATAGCAATAGGCTAAGGTTCCTGCCTTTTGATTGGCTTTTACCATTTTAATACGTCCGCAAGAATCGTTAACCTCAAAGGATATTTTTAATTTATTTTCTAAGTTTTCTGCGTTTAAAAATCCCACAAACAAGCACTCTTGCTTTCCCCAAAGTTTTCCACGGAAGTGGCCTTAATTTTCATCTTTCGTTAATGAGGTTTTGTAGCTACTTAGTTTTATCTTTAGTTTTTTGAAATATTTTTCTTTCTTGGTATGAAAAATCTACAACTTTTACCTTGAAAGGTCCGTGCAGCATTGCTGACTGATATAAAGCATATACGTGACTAAAGCTTATTATTGCTCATAGCCACTGGGCAAGAAACCAACTAATGCATCTTTACATTTGCAGACATTAACTTGATAAAACTTACCCTGAGCTTTTTTACGACTTTCCTGAGCTTTTTCATAAATTTCCTGAGCATTTTCATAACACTTCTTGGCTTTTTTGTATTCTCTAGTTTTTTCAGAGTCCGGATTTCGAAATTCTCCACGTAAGAGTTCGCCAGCTAATTTTCCAAGTCCCACATTTTCTAAATGATTTGCAAGCTGTTGTCGACTAAACGTGTCATCTTCGTTTATATATGTCAGTATTTTTGTAGCTTTTTCTACAGGACCTGGATAATTGACGTTGTCGGCCCTGACGATGTCCGCTTTGTCTGACTTACCAGCAAGAAGTGCAAGTGTATCATAATTTCCTCCTATCTTGTTTGAAAGATGAAAGATTTCATAGACCGAGAGTCTTGTACCATCTTCAAGATATTCTGCAACTACAAATTGCAACATAATATTAGAGCAGAACAGTTTTATTTATGTGGCTTTTTGGGTAGTTCATTCCTTGTGACTGGCTGTTAACATTCATGATTGGCCTGGCTACATGTGTCAGTTTTTCGAATATCCGACGAAATTTGATATTTTTTTAAAAACAAAAAGTTACAAAAAAATCAAAAACTTAATGAGTGATTAGGAAAATTATCTGAGCAGCTTGGGCAAGAAACAAATTAATGCATCTTTACATTGACAGACATTAATATGATAAAACTTACCATGAGCTCGTTTACGAATTTCCTTAGCTTTTTTACGAGTTTCCTGCGCTTTTTTACGAATTTCCTTAGCTTTTTCATGACACTTCTTGGCTTTTTCGTATTCTCCATTTTTTTCATACACTATAACTAGATTCTCTAAAGTCTCAGCAACAACATCATGATATGGACCTAACGATTCTTCACAAGTTGCCACACGTTCTTCTAAAAACTCTTTAGCTTTTTCATACTTCCCAGTGGTATAATACAACAAACCAAGATTGTTTAAACAATCAGCAACATCAACATGATCAGGAACTTGCAATTTTTTAAAAAGTTCCAATGCTTTTTCAAAAAAATCTTTGGCTTTGTCGTATTCTTCAGTACTATAACACAACAAACCGTGAATTTTTAAAGCTTTAGCAACATCTTCATGATCATGCCCTTTCAAATTTTTCCGAATTGTCAGAGCTTTTTCAATACTTTCTTTAGCTATTGCGTATTCTCCAGTTTTGATACATGTCCTAGCGAGATTTGCCAAACAACTGGCCAAATCAGGATGAACTGGACCTGGCGATTCTTCAAAACGTTTTTGAGCTTTTTCAAAGTTTATTCTAGCTTTGTCGTATTCTTCAGTGCTATAACACAGCCACGCATAATTATTTAAAGTTTTAGCAACATTACCATGATCTGCTCCTGGAGATGTTTCTAGAATTTTCAGAACATATTCATAATTCTTTTTAGCACTGTGATATTCTCCAGTTTTGGTATAAGTCATTGCGAGATGCTTTAAATTAGCAACATGAAGATTTGAACCCGGGAAAGTTTCACAACATTCAAGAGCATTTTTAAAATTTTCTTTAGCTTTCTCGTATTCTCTGAGGTGATATTCCACCTTACCATAGCTGGTAAAATGCTCAGCAGGATGAAAAACGTCTGGACTTCGCAAATTGCCTTCTAACTTTAAGAACTCGTCCATAAAATTAGCTTTATGTCATTTTCCAAAACTATAGTAAAAAGTAACTAGATTGTTTAATGATTTAGCAACATATTATCGATGATAGAGGTGAATCCAGGGTTTTGAATTTAAAACGTCACAATAAGAATGTTTATTAGAAATTTGTATTACTATTAGTGGAAATATGATACGAAAAAACGGATGGTGAAACAAAATTCAAAACTAAAAATCGTTTACTTTCATTTAATGTACGGAGTGCTAATACAGTAAGTTACAAAATATATAAAGCTACTGCAGAGTTTATCAAAAAAGTAGACAGGTGGGACAACGTCTCTAAATTTATAAGCACGCAAAGTTTGCAAAAACGTATGGTGCAGAAATAGATAGTTATGAGGAGTTCCAATGTTTTATTTGACAGTAAAACTGTAGCAAATTTTAGCCATTTTTAGAGAGAAAATTTTGCTACCTTGAAGCTATCTCAAAATAGATTGTACAAAAAAATTGCTTCTCGGTGATAAAACTTTACCTTTAAAAATGATTATATGTGCAACAATTTTACCGTAAAATAAAAAAGATTGAAGCTCCAACTATCAAAATCAGTTTAGCGACGTTTTCCCCACTGCATTTTGTTTTATGCACCTTGTATAAAGGCAATAATTGAAAGAATTATAATTTGTAAGAAATAATTCAAAGTGTTAATTTTATCATATTATCTATGCCCCCCCTGGCCAACAATTTACTTTTATGTTGATGACTCAATAAACACATGCAATCTTTGTCTATCTTTTATATTAACTGAGAATGACTTAAACTTTCATTTTTTCGAAAAACTTACTATAGACATCCGTGCAAGATATATCGATATATGATAAGTTATTTTTTGAAACAAGATTTAATTATCAATAGATATTTGTGTAAAATAAAAATCCAATTTATGACTTTTCATTTTTTAATTGTAGTGTTATTGTTATGTAACTTCAATTTTAATGTGGCGATGCATCTATCTTAGCATTTATAGTGTTTGGTCCTTCTCGAGTGTTGCTACTGTGTGTTATTTAAAAGTTCATTACACAGCAAAAGTAAACGCTTCAATAATTTCAACGACAGTTCTGACATTTTCACCAAAATGTTGAAAACACAGTAAATAGGCAAGCTGCTTAAAGGACATTGGCAACGAAAATTTTTATGGCATATTTTTGAACCTTTGTGATGTCTAACAACTAAAATAGAAAAAATTTTTCTCAAAAATATTTTGTTGCTGAGAAATTTGCAGCAAAAGTTTTATAAATTGCGCCATCTTGGATAAAATTTTGATAAAATTATCTCGAGCGGTAGTGACGTCATTGGCTGGTGAGCAGTCAAAACAACAATACAATATACTTTGTGATTGACTGCGTTAAAACACATTTAAAGCGTATTTTACGGTTTTTTTTTTGCTGTAATGGATGACATACACGAAAATCAACCGGGCGAAGTTCTGCCCTATCAATATGAACCTGAAGTGAAGGCCGAAACTAGTGAAAGAAAGTGGTTCCGAACAGGAGAGTGAGCAGAGCGACTTGTCCTCGTCGGAGGATGAAATACATGCTAAATTTGAGAAAGCAAATGCTTAGCGCCTACAAACTCTTAGTTGGTGTAAGTGTGGACATTGTACTTTGTCAAAAAAGGAAATCGAGTGTTTTTGTTGCCACGAAAAAGCGCTTGAATACGATGAGTATGAGGCTTTGCTAGGCCAAACAGAAACTCAAGGAGTAAATTGCTTGACAACACACCAAGAATTTAGGGACAATATGCTCTCAGAAAGTGTGTTAAAGATAGACGTGTGTCGGCATCTTGAAGAAAACTGGCCCCTGTCTGATGAGGATCTAGAGAGAATACACAAGCTGTATCGATTAGTTGCCTATCAAAGATGTTGTAGGTGGATTTTTCAAATTTTGGGGAAGAAACATCGAAGACCATTTCCTGCTTGTGTTTATACGAAAACGCTTCGCGTCACCAGACGGACTTCATTCACATTTTAAATACGCATGTTATCACGAAAGACCGTAAATTTAGTCTTAGACAGACGCTCTTTGATGTTCTTTGTTATGATCTGCAATAGCGATGCCATATCATTGTCAAAGGATTGTCACTAACTGCGCAAAAGCAAAATGCATGAGTGATCCACCCAAAACTTGTATTCATTCATAAGTTATAAAGTTAATCGAAAAGTGTACTTGTACATTTTGCACGCAAACACGCGCGTAAAACATTACGGATAAACGAAACTCTACAGTCAAGAACAAAACATAGCGGCTTAGAGCTTATCACCTATATAAAACTACATAATCTTTCAAAGACTCTTATGTATACAAATAATAAATTAAACGTATAACTCATTTGTTGGTCACAGGTTTGTAATATGGGAAAATAAAATATTTCTATTGCACGAAATGTGCAGTGTATAATGGGCTTACACTTGGTATGTCGGCAAAACCTAGTTGTAAGATCTGCTAAAATGAACATTTCTACGTCTTATAACGACTAAATATTGGAAAAGTATATAAGCGTGATAAACTACACAACTTTTGTTAGTCTTAACAACCGCCGACTGTTGTTTTTGTTTTAAAATTCCAGTGAACAAATGTGCTATATATTAAATACGTGTGATAAAAATCAATGCCCAACATAAAGTTCTGATTAGAGCCATAGAAATAGACCAAAAAAAAAAAAACAAATTGTGAAATTTAAATTTATTGTGACGTTTCGTCTTTACTCAAGACATCTTCAGACAAATAATAAATAGGACGTTAAGACAAGGTATTATATTTACAAAAAGGTGTTAAATTACTACTAAAGGAAGCGGTGTCGAATGGATACATGATAAGGAAGTTTGAAGTGAAATGAAGAGAATTAAAAGAGGTTAAGTGGAATGGAGTTTCTTGCACATTAAGTGAAGGCTTGTGTTTATTGATTAGTAGGCTTTCATGGATGGAGAGTTCATAAGTATCGTTGGAAGAGAGATTATTTTAAAGTCGTCTAAGTTGGGGTGTGTCCAGCGTTAATGTGAGCAAGAATGCTTGATGATGCAGGGTGGGAAACTTGGTTGCCTGTAAGGGGATATTTCCCGTGCTCCGAAATCTGGTGTGTAGATGACGTGTTGTTTGACCCACATACGAAGCGTTGCAGCTTCAACACTTGAATAAATAGACTACACCAGATCTCAGAGGTTTGGGAATTTTGTCCTTAAAGGGGAAGAAAGAAGAGATACGTTGAGAAGGGCGGAAAAGTAGTCTATTTATTCAAGTGTCGAAGCTGCAACGCTTCGTATGTGGGTCAAACCACACGTCATCTACACACCAGATTTTCGGAGCACTTGGGAATATCCCCCCTTACAGGCAACCAAGTTTCCCACCCTGCATCATCAAGCATTCTTGCTCACATTAACGCAACTGGACACACCCCCAACTTAGACGATTTTAAAATAATCTCCTCTTCCAACGCTACTTATGAACTCTCCATCCATGAAAGCCTTCTAATAATAAACACAAGCCTTCACTTAATGTGCAAGGAAACTCCATTCCACTTAACCTCTTTTAATTTCTCTTCATTTCACGTCCAAACTTCCTTATCATGTATCCATTCGACACCGCTTCCTTTAGTAGTAATTTAACACCTTTTTGTAAATATAATACCTTGTCTTAACGTCCTATTTAGGCCCTGTTCACACGATACCGGATTCGTCTTGTACCGGATTCGCTGAGCAATCCGATACGAAAAATGCACTCTGTTCACACGATGCCGGATTCATAAGACGATACATAAGTTTTTATATCGCCCCAGTACTTGTGCGTTCAAGCGATAACGACGATGGTTGCTAATGCAAATATTTCGTGAGAAATGAGAAATTTTTTTGACAGATAACTAAGTAGAGTTTTTTCTTAGGCGTATTAAGGTTTTTTACGAATGGGCGCAAGGACTGGAAGAGTGTAAAGTCCAAATACGACCGAATATATGTTGCCATTACAATAATACTAGAAAGAAGCTTTTCGCACTGCGATAATTCATTGTTAAAAGCTTAAACATGCCATGTTGAAGATATATTATATTTGCTGGCGGATTATTCATTTAAAACATAGTTTGTATCGCTATGTTTGCTTTCATTTTTGAAAAATCGCATGGACTTCTTAGTTGCCAAAGTGGAACGTATCGGATTCGAGCGTTCACACGACAACGGAACGTATCGGATTGGTTTTCATACCACTTCCACAGCGGAGTCAAATCGCTCCGGAAAACGATACAAAGCGTATCGGATAGCAGCGGAGCCGTGTGAACGCAAGGCCTATCCGGTACGAAAAGTAATCCGGTATCAAACGAATCCGGTATCGTGTGAACAGGGCCTTATTATTTGTCTGAAGATGTCTTGAGTAAAGACGAAACGTCACAATAAATTTAAATTTCACAGTTTGTTTTTTTTTGGTCTATTTCTATGGCTCTAATCAGAACTTTATGTTGGGCATTGATTTTTATCACACGTATTCGATTTCCGCTCGGCAAGTCTCTCGCTACAATTTTAAATCATTGCTATATATTATTATAATACTATTATTTTATATTGTGTCATTCAGTGGATACCAGCCAATGACGTCAGTAATGTATTCCGGCATAATTTAGCATAAGGCTTTTTTTTAAAAATGGCGGATAAGGATTCAACTTTATGTCAAATTTTTTCAACAGCAAAATTCAAAAGAGACACGAAAACACGAAATTAAGTATTCCATAGCTATCTATGATAAACGCATGAAAAAAAATTTTCGTTGCCAAAATCCTTTAAGTGTTTTATAAATGTCAAGAAACATGTACATAGCAAAGCTTTGTGCTTCAGTATTTAGACACATTAATTATACAGTAAGTTGATACAATATTAGCATGTCAGCGAAAGGCAGTTACAAATGCTCTCATGCAGACAGAAAATATTTCTTGAAAGGGGTGAATTAGATGCACTTGAAAGTTTTTTGATAGTTTGTAAATCAGTTTTTTAGATAAATCGCGATCTTTAGTTTTAGAAGTGCAATTAACTCGTATCGAAACGAAAGACCGATAAGAATTTTGTCTTTTTATGCTACAACACTATCAGCAATTTATCATTTAAAACCACTTTCTTAAAATGTACATCAAACATAGCTATTTGAACGTTCAAAACTATTTCATGTTGATGTAAAATTCTTGGGTATGAAAATATCAAAAATTGACAATACTTAATTTATAATATAATAGCTTTGCCAGAAAACAGCTGTGATTTTGAAACTGCGAACACAAAAATAGAGAACCACTGTCAACGAGTATTTATATGCAATGGTTACTAAATCCACTAATTTTTAGTCACGTTGATAAACGTACAGCGCGAATTGTAATCATTTTAGTGGCGGTCAGCCATGATGGTAGCTAGTATTTTTATTTCTGTTGTTCAATTGTAAAGATTCAACACATCGATCCTTATTGCTTATATAAGTTTACTGAATTTAATCAATAATTATGTCAAGATGAATGGTTTTAGTAAGTTGTGCCACCAATAAGAAATCCAAGCAATATATTTCAAATAAAATGCCGCTACATGATCATTTCATGCAGTCATAACATTTTTGTATAAAATTTTCATGTATATTTGCAAACACACATTAAACAAATGCTCTCACCTTTATCAACGAACGATCAACACTTGTTTTCTGCTAAGAAAGTATATTTGTTCGCCTTTCGAGCTTCTTTTAAAGATCAGCAACAATTATATGATTATATGAACTGATATGAGACGAGTCAAACTGTGAACGGAATTTAAATAATTTTTTAAACATAGAATGTGATATAGCTGTAAATTAAAGATGCGCTTTATGATCTTAAATTTTGATATCTACAACTTTCGATTGTTATTTATGAAAAATTTAGTTTAGCGATTAAAATGTATGGTCTTTTCTCCAGTTTTTTATACTCGAATGTTTTATTCGAAAATCGATTGCAGAGTAAGATTTAATGCTCCAATAATTTTAGCAATAATACTAACATTGATCAAAATGCTAAAAACATCAAATGCAAAACTTTTGACTGCTCATCATCTCAAGCAATATTCAAACCTAATTCTTATGCTTTTCATAATTTCAACATTTCTCCACGAGAATCAGCTATAAAGTAAATTAATGCAACATTATAGCATGTCGTCACCAGAGAAGCATTATTTGCATGAAAGAAATATTATTAATTAAGATAGTTGCACACAATGCTTGTGCAGATTGAATATATTTTTGTAATCAATAATATTACAAGATATTAAATCTTAGATTTTTGTATTATAAAATGTTGCCATTCATTGAGGAAGGTTAGCATATGAGTGTCACAACATTTTGGTGAGCAACATTCCACCTCATATAGTGTTTTGTCCGAACTCATCGCAATAATAAAATAATATAAAACGATAAAATTGGCTCTAGAGGCTTACTTTATCACCACACATGACATATGGTTGGTTACTATGTTTTAGTCACTAATTTCTGTAATATCTCCTGACCAGGGAAAACTCTTAAAGTATGCTGATTAAAGTAAGTGTCCAACAATAAATATATTTATGTGTAGATTGATTTTGATTTTGACAATAGTACATACTTAATTGAATACATAACAATACAATAATATAATATTATCTTATATCAAAAAGGAGGTTGCTCAGGATGCAATGTATCTTTAGAGCTTGGTTCGATTATCTTCGTGACATAAAGAGAGAACTCTTTTTGAAAGAAACAATATTTTTTTTCTTTTGTTGTTAGTGAACCAGAGTTGAGCTAATAAGATGTTAAACTATGCACGTATCGTTTTTATGAACATTGAAATTTGTGGCTGAAAACAGATTCTTTGAACAAACTCATCGATAAACAGAAACACTGCTTTTTATTTTACAAAATTTTTTTGTGGCTTACTTGTGTATAAAATGTAATCATGTAAACTGAAGAGATATTAGGATGTCTGTTAAGCATCAAATTGTATGTGAAACTATACGTAATATGACTGTTCACATAAATAGTGGAAACAAATAAAAAGTATTTTTATGGGTCAGGATACTCAACAGGAGTAGCACTGTCATCTCCTAAGAGTTAAAGAAAATATAAAGGTACTCTCTGATAAAGTTAATGACCTTTTCTTAAGTATAACAGACAACGTCACACCTTTGTTACTTTCTTGCTCAAATTATAAGTGCAAAACGAGTTCCTTGACTGTAAAGAAGTGGTCAATAAAGCACTTTCTTTTTTACCGAAAGCCAAATCTATTGGACTAGACCTATTTCCAAACAGGGTATTTGAAGAATTTGCTCTAGAACTTTTGATGGTCGAACAGGAAATTTATAAATGTCTGTACTTGTCCATTAAAAAAAATCATCAATGATATGTTCATGCAGCAACAAATGTCTCCCCGCTACAATCTTTATAATTTGATCTGCGTCTAATATCTCTGACATCTCACTTAGCTAAAATCATGGAAGAATTCTTCTGTAAAAATAGTTCCTGCAACTTAAAGGAAAAATTGAGGGTTGACATTTGACAGTGGGAGTGCTTGCACGTCTGTTTCTTCTTTGCTCATTTCAGTTAAGGATTTGATCGTATAGACCATTGCATTCTTATAAACGAGGAGATTGAACTTGATATTCATCTTGTGCTGCTTAAAGTGGTGTGCAATTGTTTTAAGTCTGAAGACTGTGAAAGGCGTGAAAATGAAAATGAAATCTACAAAAAAGGCGGGTCTAGAGAGCGAAAACTTTTAGATTATATGCAAGGTTTATTTCTATTGAATGAGGTGCAAAAAATTAAAAATTACAGTCCTTTTGATCGGATACATGTGCTTTTAATTATAAATATTGGTTTTTCGTGAATACATCATGTGTAATCCCATTATTTGGTTCAATTACCTTTTCAAGCATAAGGATGCTTTATTTTATTGTTACACTAGTAAGGATGTAACACAATCTCGTTCCATATTTACATGAATGTGCATAATTTACCATAAATTAAAAGAATACAACTTCAAACGTTTTAGTAGAAAGTGCTAGTGTCTGCTAAAATTATACAAAAATGAAAGCGAAATGTGTTAAATAGAAATGATTAGGTTTGTTGTTTATCGTAAATCTATTGGGCCGTCCGTTGTTTCTTCAGAGTCCGGATTTCGAAATTCTCCACGTAAGAGTTCCCCAGCTAATTTTCCAAGTCCCATTTTTTTTAAATGATTTGCAAGCTGTTGTCGACTAAACGTGTCATCGTCATTTATATATGTCAGTATTTTTGTAGCTTTTTCTACAGGACCTGGATAATTGAAGTTGTCGGCCCTAACGATGTCCGCTTGGTCTGACATACCAGCAAGAAGTGCAAGTGTATTGTAATTTCCTCCTATCTTTTTTGAAAGATGAAATATTTCATTGTCCGAGAGTCTTGTACCATCCTCAGGATATTCTGCAACTACAAATTTCAACATAATATTATAGCAGAACAGTTTTATTTATATGGCTTTTTGGGTAGTTCATGCCATTTGATTGGCTGTTAACATTCATGATTGGCGCGGATAAATGTGTCAATTTTTCGAATATCCGAAGAAATTTGATATTTCTTTAAAAACAAAAAGTTACAAAAAAATCAAAAACTTAATGAGTGATTAGGAAAATTATCTGAGTAGCTTTTATTATCTCAAGAAGCTTGAGACTTATACAACACTTATACGAGATCGAAAGGGACACCGAAACTCAAAAAGATATGGTGCATGTATACATCTAAGCTGTTGGGCATCAAGAATGACATGATTTAAATCACGCCTTAAATCTGTTCCCTCTGATTCTCAATGAAAAAGCATTTAATAGCTCAGCCTCTAGGTCTTGTTGATGTAGGATGCAAACAGCTGAAGGCTGTATAAATTCTTATACATATGTTTCTATAATATTATGTTAAGACAAACTAGTGTATTTTATTTTTCAAGCCATGATGATACATTTTGATCTGAAGACCATTGCACGTAGATTTTAGATATTCTCGACTCAGTGTCTACTATGGATTTTTTGAGCGATAGGCTTAATTTCTATTGCTGAACTTTACCGCATCTTTCACTATGAACGTGGAATACTCATGAGTAGCTAAATAATCTTGAATGTGTTTTATGAATATAGTTCTATATAGTTCATTTATTTCATAAAAGATAAAAGTTTCTCCGGATTTAAAGTGAGTTTTTATTGGGCTTTCGACTCGTTGCTTCGAGCCTTCATCAAAATGAAAAATATTTATTTACACGTGCTTTTAGCTTGGAGACGTTTAGAGCGTCTAATTGGATGAGTGGGTGGATTAATGTGATTGGATGGGGTTTTGGTGGATGGGGTGATGCGTTGCCATGGGTTTTGGTGTATTGTGAATATGATTGGTGTTAATAATATTAGAGTGTAGTGTTTTAGTTTTGGTGTTGTTTGTAGTTCATTTATTATACAATGTGTTTTATGACTATAGGTCTATATAGTTCATTTATTATACAATGCGTTTTATGAATATAGTTTTATATAGTTCATTTATTATACAATGTGTTTTATGAATTTATTTTTTATTAGTTCATTTATTAAACAATGTGTTTTATGAATAAAGTACTATATAGTTCAATTATTATACAATGTGTTTTATGACTATAGTTCATTTATTATACAATGTGTTTTATGAATATAGTTTTATTTATACAGCCGTCAACAATGAGCATGTCGCGATTGGCAAAATGCGATACACTTTTGACGAGTAGCATCTAGCAATGCACTAAATAGTAGAAACTGCGATGCGCAAAGTTAGATAGCTTCACCTTTTGAAATAAATTTATTTGCCTATGTAACTCCTCAGATTTTCAATGATTTATGTATTTTTTCATTCATACGGAAGATGGCATCATGAGATGTCGAAACATATCGATTCTCAAAAAAATCGTCGTCTATATTAAATGCACATTAGCAATAGTGCTTTTACCTCATTATGAAAATGTAATTTGCATATGACGACGTTGGTGAAATATTTGTGTGTAACACTCACAGGTTTATGAAATTTCTTGTTGTTTGAAAGTTTATCATGAGACTTAATACTATCTATTGTGAATATAGTTATCTTATTTTGTTTATATATATTTCCCTGCATGGATGCTGTGAATATATATAAACAAAATAGGAAAAATTGGTTACGTGTTGTCCTTGTCTTGCTGTAACAACTTTTTTATTCGTCAAAGTATGGTCCACTTTCAATCTTATCCTTTTTGTCATGTAGTGCTTATTTTTACACTTGCATCTAAATGAAACACTAAACAACAAGCAACAAATCTTAATACTTTCGTCATTAATGTCAGATGAAAGTGATGATCAATTTTATACCCAGCTACTGTATAATCATGATAAATATTCCTACTTGGTTACAACTTGATTTCTTGAGAAAATGAGTTAGTCGCAATTCGCGAAATATGAAAGAGTCACAAACAGAAGGCTTAACAGTTTCATGTTCGTAATTTGTTATGGGTATATATTACATTGTTTTTGTCAACCTGTGTAATCTATGGTCTTTTAACATCATGTACTATCATCAACTCTAACGCTCTGTCATCTGTTGTCATTAACTGTCATCTGCTGGAACCAGAGGCAGATGGAATAGGTGTGTGTGCATATAACTCATAAATGGTGAGTGGTGTTTGTAATGAGGGTTTTGTACAATTTACTTTATAAAGAATGCATGTTGTTAATTGACGTAGACTTGCAGCCTTATTGTTTTTTTATCAATGCATCACCCACATAAACAGCACTTACAATACATTGCCATTTCTTGCGCTTTTGAATATGTTTTTCCACCAGGTTGATGAGTTTCCAATTTTTTTCAGGGGTGGATGTTGTGGATGCTTTTTGGATATAAAAAACAAAAATTTATTTAAATTATATTATGTATACATAAATTGATGACTAGCATCAAAATCAATGATAAATTTTAGGTTTGCTGTTTTTTTCTTTTCAGTCTCTGCACTGTACGACCCTATTCGTTTAATTTCAGAATTTTGGCAAAGCATGATTTCAGAAGTTTTCTTGTCATTATGTATTTATTACGGAAATTACTAATTTTTCCACTGTTTTTTTATTCACCTCCTCTCTAGACACGCGTTCATCAACAAGTTGAATAATCACACTCAATATATGTTTACTCCTGCCATTTGAAATAAGCAAGTAAGTCTTTTATTAACACTAGAAATCTTTGTTTCTAAATTGGATAATATGCATGTGAATGTTTATTTTTACATTTTATTTACACTCCTGCGGTTAAAAGTATCTAAGAAAAGAAAATTTTTTTATTTCAATAGTATTTAATTGTATGAACGAAACTTTTAAAATCAAAAATCAAAAATCAAAATTTAGTTTCTTATGCACTTTAAAAGGACAGGACATCACGAATATGGGACAACGTGTTTTAATGTTTTTGGCGTTTTTCAGGTGTCTATTTATAAGCCATCGTCATTATGACACAAACTTACGATGGCTAATGTAATGCGAGTTGCAAAACGATCGTGACTAAAACACCACACGAGTACATACGAGTACATACGAGTACATACGAGTACATACAACTACATACGACTGACATACGAGTACATACGAGTGACATACGAGTACATACGAGTGACATACGACTATATAGGGTTAGGGTTATATATATATGTATACTTGTTACCAGTATGTAGTCATATGTCAGTCGTATGTACTCGTATGTCAGTCATATGTACTCATCTGTACTCGTGTGATGTTTCAGTCACGATCGTTGCAAAACATGGGTTTTGCGACTCCTATATTTTGTGACCATCTGCCATTAACGACATTGTATTGTGGTTTTGTTTATATTATTTTTTGACTCTTTAGTTAAAGAGATCTTTAATTTTACAATGCATTTATCGATCATAGTATTCTTAGGACTCTGTAAAACGTTTGGCTTTTCTCGAGTGCTTCGTAGATCAAATGCGTTATTTGAAAGTTGATTGCACAGCAAAAGTAAACGCTATAATAACTTTGACAATAACATTGATATTATGACCAAAATATTGAAATAGGCAGTGTTTGACTGTTTAATAAATTTCACAGAAATGTATACAAATTAAGTTTTAGCTTTTCAACAAGTATATATCAATCTGAGAATTTTATAGTAAATTGATTCAAACGTGATATCAGCGTGAAACAATAATGATTAAGCTACAATGGGCTATTTTATGTTTGGCTTCAGCAATAACATATAGTCATCGTTAATGTCGTGTTGAAATGTGATCTCATCAATCATCATTTTGTTCTGCTGTAAAAAGTTCATTGGGCTCAAATATCTTTATCTGATGCATTCGCTTCGTTGTGGATGTGCATAATATTGCCAAATAACGTAATGTACCTAGCTAGTGTTGATTGTGATTCAAATTTCTATTTTATATGTTGGCATAAATAAAATAAATGTTAGTGCACAGTTATGCGAATGAACGCCTACAGTCTACCTCATGAAGTAAAAAGTTGCTGTAAACATACATTTCAGACAAAATGCTGCTAATTATCATTCATTTGTCCTGTCAGTCAAATTTTACATAAAACGTTCATGTATAGAAACACTTTTATTCAAAGCTCTTACCGTTTCAAGGAACGACAATTGTTTGTTTTCAGCTAGTATCAAGTGTCTTGTTCGTCTTTCAGGTCTCTTTTGAAGATTTTCAATAATTGTTTATCTTACGCCTCTTTTACTGTTGATAACTTCAACTTGAAGGTTTTCAGACTTAAATTTTATGCCAGGTCACCATTATACGCCTTCTTTGTGCTGATATATGTTATGATACGTGGCAAGTCAAACTGTGCAACGGAATTCAAAACATCTTAAAGATAGATTGTGATGTAATGTACAGATACGCATTACGATTTCTGTTTTGTTATTGGAGTTAAAAACTATTTATGAGAACCTTAATTTTGCAATGCATTTGTCATTGTATGCTTGCTATAGGATTCTTGAAGCATTTGGTATTTTTTTCAAGTGCTTAATTCTTTGAAAGTCGATTGCACAACAAGATTATACGCTCTTGTAATTTATGCGATTGTAAATCTCAAAGAAATATTTAGCAGGCAAGGCTCTGAGTTTTTCATTCATTATATTGATGTGAAAATTATACAGTAAATTGATACAATTTCTCATAGACATTGCTTCATTAAAATAGTTGCAAATAATAGTTACGCAGATAGAAAATGTTTCAGTGATTCAGATTATTCAATGACACAATTGACGTAGATTCATTATTGTTAACTTTAACATAAGAGCCAGCATACAAATACTCTAAATCCTAATGATATTAATATCTGCCATAATTATATACCCCAAAATAAAGTTACATCCAAAGAGCCTAACTGACTGTTTTTTCAGAAGTGGATTCACTGTAGTAAACATGATTACAGACCAATCTTTAAATTTTATAGTATTAGTGAACAAATCCACCAAAACTCCTGCAAAGTAGCAACGCGTTTGAGTGTAATGCTTAGTGAACAAAGCAAAATGCTGACTACCTTACGTGACGTCAAAACAAACGCTACATCCAGACTTCTAACTACCAAGGCTTTGGGCCATAAGAAGCCTAATTTGTCTAAGCCATAAAAACTGGGCATGCTATCTAAATTGAATTATTTTTTTCACTAAAGTGCACTAAATAAACGGAAAATTTGGTGGGAAGAAAAACAAAATTAATTTATGGGTATACTTTTAATCATAACCTTGACAATGACAAAGTTTCCATAAACAGAAAATACACCTGCAATGGTCACTACACACATTCAGTTTAGTACAATGGAAACGTTGCATTTTGGTGGATTTAGTCTTAAAATCTGCTCTCCATCTACACTAACAAATAATGTAGAAATTTATAGATTCTTTCTCTATTTACAACGAACAAAACAGACTGCAATGTACGAATACATATTTACGGTGCATCAAAAGCAACTGAAATGCTAAAAATGAAAAGTAGTTTTTTTTCACAAATGATGTACTGATGATGATACTACTACTTTTTTCAGACGGTGTACAGAAACCACACATCGTACAAATTGCAGCAAGAAAAGGTATCGTAAACACGTGTAGAGTGTAAAAAATATAGCTCAAAAATGGCGTGCAAACTACAAATTTGTAGTTTTGTTGGCCTAACTTGACTTTGCCTTTGCTAGGAAGTTTGTGTCAAGGATAGTTCGATCAATCATAAATACCAAATAATGCCGGAAATACAAAGTTAGCTACAAGTTTTCACAGTTCCAGTCACCAATATTACGATAAATTTGGTTTCCCATTCACGCAATTTTGCAGCAATACATCTTTGCTGAGTTGTTTGTACAATTATTACGGTTTTGCTTATCAAAAACAGGACTTAAGTTCATTGATGAATGTCATCAATGATTTTGAAATGATGAAAGCATTATTTCTCGGGTTATCGAAAATAAGCCACAGTTCAAATATATTTTTTTGTTGTTGCGAGACTACACAAACCGCGATTGATACGAAGTCCTTGAACCAATCAAAATCTTTCTTGGATCGTTTGAAGCGTCAGTGTCACTAATGACATATATAATGAAAAATGCATGATTTTCTTACATATTATATTGTCATATGTGAGATTGCAGTGCCGTGAAGTTCGTTGTGCTGTTTGACAACCATTACAATACGCAAACATACACAATAACACTGTTTTCGAGTAGCACGAGTGAACGCCTGAAAAGCGTATTGTTGTATGAGTTATAATCTGCAGGCAAACACATGTAAGGTCCAGGATCATAATGATGTTGCTCCTTGTGCTTTTTAATTTCACATAGCTACTTTCTTTTCCTGTCTAGAAAAAATTTCTTAAATTTTTTTGTCTTATTAGGTCATTTGTCCATGAGTGAGCAATTGTAGATACATTGGGATGAATATTCCTTTGATTTGTGACGTTTATATTCAAAAAAAAGAATTAGCTTCACAAACATTGAAAGTGTGCATATATGTACTTGAAAGTGAGCATATATATTCTGAAGTTTGTTCTTCCTTTCAATTTTCCTTTTTAATTCAATTAAGTTTCTCCTTTTGAGAATTCTAAGCTTTTTTGCTTTCAAACAAATTTTCTTCCTTCAAACTCTAAATTTTTCTTGTAGCAATGGTCCCACATTTCGCTATTTTATATACAGCCTTGAAACTAGGCACGGTATTTTCAGACAACTTATATTATAAACAATAATTGTGCCTGACTGATTTCTTTTTCAAAGCAACTCTCTGATGGAATTAAGCAATTTACGTTCAAAAGAAATTGAACGTCCACAGCTGAATATATGAAAAAACACCCCCCCTCCCTCACTGTGCGTTTCTGGGCACTGGCATCAGTCGCATTACCTTTTATCTTCCCCTGAATCCTGACATGAATTTTGCGTGTAAAGTGTTCAAGTCTCGGTAATTGAAAATAGTTCTAGTGGACTGTTTTTATCAGCATATACTTACCTTTAAATCCAAAGGTTTTTGGTTTTGTAAGTAATTTACTCTATAACATTGCTTTTGGTATGGATCAATAAATTTTATTGTAAAATGACTAATCGGCAAAACTATCACTCATTAAAACATCTGGACAATTGCATACAATTTTTACATAAACTTGTTTTACCCTGGTTTTATGAAGTTTGACATAAATTACGTTACATTGGTGCCAATTACATCTATGCAATTAAATGCCTGTTTTTTCTGCTAAGTAGAGGTACAAAAACGTTTTAAAATATGTTCTTATTAACTTGACATGTGTCTAGATATTACATGAAATCCTATTCTTAAGTTCAAATCAACTGCCTGATTGCAGTATTTCAACCATAGAGATTATTTGCCTTTATTTGATTGTTTTCTCTACTAATAAGGACTTATTCAAATACGAGACAGCTCGATTTATCTTTACACGTGCATAATTTACTATAAATTGGAATTTAAAAAAGTGTAAAGTAGTTGAGCAACTCATTATTGCAAATTTTTATGGTATAAAGCACAAATAACTAAAGCTGTATGCTATTCAGGAATTGTAAGGTGATTCTATCCGTCTATCGTAATCTTCCTCGTAATAAGTCGTCGGCCAATCTTCCAAAGCCAATTTTCTCTAAATGATCAGCTAGCTCCATCCGACTAAATTTCAACCTGTTGTTTATTCTTTTCAGTACTTCTGCAGCTTTGCTTTCTGGACTAGGAAATTGAAAATTGTTGTTCCTTATGTTGGTAACCTCGTCTGACAACCCAGCACGAAGTCCAAGTCTGTAATAATCTCCCCCTAGCTTTTGTGAAAGTCCATCGATTTCAATGGGTGAGAGCCTCGTACCATCCTCACCTGGATCATCTGTATAACGATAATAACAATTTTTATTGAAATATCTAAAGTTTTTCTGATTGTTTTACAAATAACGTTATGTACCTATAGCTAGTGCTAATTCTGACTAATAGTACTTTATTTTGTCTTTTAATACATATAAAATAGAAGTTCGTGAGAAATTATGTCCAGGAAGGCCTACAGTCTACGATGCTGTAAGTAATATAAATATAATATAATGAAAAGGATGCTGCGAAAATATATTTCAGACAAATGGCCACTAACTATCATATCTGTCTGTCAAATTTTATGTACATTGTTCATGCATACAAACACATTTATCACAAACTCTTACCTTTGCAAGGAACGACTTGTTTTCAGCTAGTATAAAGTATCTTGTTCGTATTTCAAGTCTCTTTTGAAGATGGTCAATAAGTATATTTTCTGGTTTTCTTAAATTATAAATATTATAGAATTTAACGTACGACACTAAATAAATAATATATTAGCATTGCTAAATATTTCATTTTCATAATGAAATAACTTGACAACCATTCGTTTTAACTGACACGTTATACCTTTTTAGCACTTAGATGTTTCTTGTTTATCTTACGCCTCTTTCACTGTTAATAATTTCACCTTGAAGGTTATCAGACTTAAAATTTGTGCAAGGTCATCATATATGTGATAAATATAAATCGCAAATCAAACTGTGCATCGGAATTCTTAAGAATAGATTGTAATGTAAAGTACGCATACGCTTTATGATTATTTGTGTTGTTATTTGTAATATTTTTCAACTCTTGAGATGAAAATTATTTATAGTAACCTTAACACTACAATGCATTTATCATAGTATGCTTGCTATAGGATTCTTTAAGTGTTCGGTATTTTGTCAAGTGCTCAATTCTTTGAAAGACTGCACAGCAAGAGTAAACGCTCCTATAATTATTGCGATAATGCTGGCATCTTGGCCAAAATGTTAAAAACAGCAAATAAACCAACTGTTTTACTATTTTGTAAATTACTTAGAAATATATGCAAAGCAAGACTCTGAGTTTTTCATTCATTGTATCGATGTGAGAATTATACAGTAAATTGATACAATATGTCATAAACGAGCATTATTAAAATAGTTGCAAATAATGGTTACGCAGAGAGCAATGATTTAGATTGTTCAATAACACATTTGCTATTTAAGAAATAGAAAACATTTTTCCGAGTTTCTATAGAGTTATAGAAACACGCGGGAAAGTTTGGGAGAAACGAGAAATTACATGGCAAGCACGAGCACGAAGTGCGAGTGTTTCCAAGTAATTTCAAGTTTCTCCCAAACTTTCACTAGTAGAAACTTGTTTATTGAGCTAACAACTAACTCCTACAAGCATAGGGGTGTCCCATAAGGGGCAACTATCATTACATCCCCTTTCTTTCAATAGGACTAAATTATAAACATAACTTGGCTCTCAATGGAATACCAGGAAAATAAGAGATTTTTTTAACAGTCTATAAAGTGTTAATATTTGTAATCAAGACATTACATAGTCATTGTATTTAGTAGGTATTGTTTGGGTTCTTGTAGACCTTCTAAGTGGAGGAGTGGGTGAAGATGCTCCAGGTTCGTCAACAGTGGTTTCTGCTTCAGCCTGGTTATCATCATCTGTGCTCGGTAAGGCTGTTGTGGTGAAATCGGCTGTTGCCTCAGTCTTCAAGAGATGTCGCCTGTTGCGTCGATACTTGTGGCCATTCGGTGTTGCAACTATGTAGGAGCGAGGTGTTTTTGCGGGATATAGTACTTGGGCTGGGACCCAAGTGTTGTTCTGACGTAGCCTTAGGCCTTCATTCTCCGTGAGTGGCGACAATGGTCTGGAGTTCTGGTCATAATAGTGTTTTTGTGTCTGTTGGCATCGTTTCAATTCTTTTGTAACATCTGTTGCTAGCTTGGGTTGTAGCTATTCTTTTGATACAGCTAGTTAGGATCTGGTTGCTCTACTCATTAGTAGTTGTGATGGTGTATATGACATACCGGTGACAGGGGTGTTCGTGTACTCGAGGAGACCAATATAGGGGACTGAGGTTTTTTTAGGATCCTCTTGACAGTCTGCACAGCTTTTTCACTAAGCCCATTGGATTGTGGGTATGTGGGACTAGATGTGGTGACTTTGAATCCCCAGATTTCTGCAAACCCTCTAAATTCTCTGCTGTTGAATGGCATGTTGTCTGATATGAGTTCTTGTGGTATACCATGACGTGCAAAAATTGACTTTGTGTGTGTGATGACAGTTTTTGCGGTTTGATTTGGTAACAGACTGGCTTCGATGTACTTTGAGAAATAATCTACAATCACGAGGTAGGTTTTACCTTGGTATTCGCATAGATCAGATGCTACTTTCTGCCAGGGGAGCTCAGGTATCTCATGTGGTATCATGGGTCCCTTTTGGTTCTGGCTTCTAAAGGTGGCACAAACGGTACAGTTAGATACAACAGTAATAACGTCATTATTCATACCTGGCCAGTATATCACTAATCTAGCTCTATTCTTGCACTTTTCTATGCCTTGATGGCTTTCATGGATTAATTATAGCATATCTTTCGTCATAGATAATGGGATGATGAGTCTGTTATTTTTAAATAGGAGTCCTTCGGCTTCACTCAGTTTATATCTTACATTCCAGTAGGGTGTGATGCATGTTGGTACTGATTGTCGGTGTTTTGGCCAACCTTGCTTGATTGTCTCTTTTAGAGTTTGAAAGGTTTCATCTTTATTGGTATCAGCTTTGAGTTCAGCTATCTTCTCTGATGTCGCCGGGATATTGGTGACTAAACTTTGAACCATGACTTCGATGTCATCATTGAGGTCTAGTTGTTCACCGTCGGTCTTGAGATATGCTCTAGAGAGAGTGTCAGCTATGAACATGTATTTTCCAGGAACATATTTCACTGTTACTTGATATTTCTGTAGTCTTATTAAGAGGCGTTGAATCCGGGGTGGAGCTTGGCATAGTGGCTTAGCCATTATTGCTTCCAGTGGTTTGTGGTCGCTTTCTACTATGATCTCTCGTCCATAAACATATTGGTTTAAGCGTTCGCATGCAAATACTATGGCGAGAAGTTCTTTCTCGATTTGTGCATACTGTGTTTTTGCATTATTAAAAGATCTAGATGCATAGATGACAGGGTGTTCGTTTTGAATCAGACAAGCTCTAAGGCCCCCTTGTGATGCATCGACTTGGAGAGTTATTGGCTGGTCGTTGTCAAAGAACTTAAGGACAGGGCTGCTGGTTAGTGCTTCCTTTATCTTGGTAACAGCTTCATCATGTTCTGCGAGCCAGATCCATGCAATATCTTTCTTAAGCAATGATCTTAATGGGGCTGTAATTTCAGACATATTGGGTATGTATTGTGACAGGAAATTGACCATACCTAGTAAACGTTGTAGATCTTGCTTGTTCTGTGGTTTGGGCATCTCTAGGATTGCATTGATTTTTTTCTGGATCTGGGTGGAACCCTTTGGCGTTTATAATGTTGCCCAGATATTTTACTTCTTTGACGCGTAGTTGAATTTTCTCTTTGTTGAACTTGATGTTTCGATCTCTAGCACGATCGAGGACTTTGATGAGGGTTTTGTCATGTTCTTCTTTGTCTTTAGCAGCGATGATGATGTCGTCATAGACTGCAAGTACACCAGGGATATCTGAAAAATTATCATCAACTATTTTCTGCGCGACGTCAGATGCTGAACAGATTGCAAATGGCATCCAGTTAAATTTATATCTCCCAAATGGAGTGTTGAATGTGCAAAGGTAAGAAGATTCTTCGTCAAGTTTCTTGTGCCAGTAGCAGCTTGTCATGTCAATTACAGTGAACAACTCAGTACCATTGAGTTTATTTGAGATTTCTTCGGCTGACGGTGGGTTGTAGTACTCTCTTTTAATGGCTTGATTTAGATGTTTGGGATCTAGGTACAGTCGTAGCATTCCATTTCTTTTTTCTACTATGACCAGGCTGTTTACCCAGTCTGTAGCTCGGTCAACTTTGCTGATAATTCCTGTCTCCGTGAGATTTTCTAGTGTTGATTTCAAGCGTGGCATTAAACTCAGTGGGACTTTTCTTCGTGGATGAATTGTAGGTTTAGCATCACTTTTAATTTCGATGTGGTATTCACCATTGACGAGGCCAATACCTTTGAAAACATCTTGATACTCTACGAAAATGTTTTGTTCGGTTTGGTGAATTTCACAGACATCATTTATGCTAATGAGGTCGAGGTCACGGCATGTTTGTAGACCAATCAGTGGCTTCGAGTTGTCGATTTCAACGACGTAGAATTCGATATGAATTTTCTTGTTGTTGTGTTCGATGTTCATGTAGCATTTACCACGAATTGGTACTTGGGTTCCTCCGTAGGCCTTTATTTTGGTGTTTGTCTGGTGAAGAGTTGGTTTGTCGTTTAGTGAAGTGAACACGCTGAGTGGCATTATATTACACTGAGCGCCAGTGTCGATTTTGAAGCTGATGACTTTGTTGTTTACTTTAATGCTAGTGAGTATTTCGTTTCCGTTAGGCTTGTTTATTTCACCGAGGAAAATTTCGTCGTAGTTTTCAACACCGTCTTGAGTTTCTTGAAGGGTTTCTTGAGTGATTTCGTGGAGTTTACGTCTGGAAGAGTTAGCGAAGCACATTTTGGCGTAGTGGTTTTTGCCTTGACACTTTGAACACTTTTGGCCGTAAGCTGGACATTGGTTAATCAGGTGATGTGTACCACAACGTCTACAAGGTTTTCCTTTTTGTTGAGGGCTTCGCTTTTGGTAGCTAGCTCTCGTAGTTTGGATGGCAGCTGCTTCGATTGGTTGTGTTGATGGCTTTGTCGAGGGTTAGAGTGTTATCTCGTAGGAGTCGTTCTCTTACGGAATTATTGTCGATTCCACATACGATTCGATCCCTTATCAGACTGTTTTGCAGCTCTCCGAACTCGCAGGTTTTTGCTTTATTTCGTTGGTCCACGAGGAAGACGTCGAGTGGTCGGCCATTTTGTGAGCATGTGTTGAACTTGTACATTTCGTATGTGACATTTTTCTTGTGAGAGCAGTGTTCTTCGAATTTCTCGATACGTGGGTCGATTTTACCTTCTTATTCTTCGGTGAATGTGTCGTAAATCTCGAGGGCGTCTTCGCCAATCATGTGGAGAAAGATTGCACACTGCGTGTCTTGATCTTTTGAAGTGGCACCGCTTGCTTTCGAGTAAAGGTCCCATCTTTGTCGCCATTTCCGCCATCTTTCTGCGGCGTTTTCATCTAAGATGAGAGGCTCTAGAGTTTTTAAGTGGTCTATGATAAATTATTTTCTGACACCATGTAGTAAAGTAATACAAAAAGCACGAGAGCTGTCGCGTAAACTCGTTTATTGAACTAACAACTAACTCCTACAAGCATCGGGGTGTCCCATAAGGGGCAACTATCATTACAAAGAGGATGGAAGCAAAGTAGAAAAACAGCAATGAAAGCAAGCAAACACAGAATGGCGAATGCTTAAAAGAAAAGAATATTATATTGCATGTGTTGGCAAGAGCATCGGCAGCACAAGAAGATCAAAAACAACGTAGAGAGGTCAAGATTCCAAAATGAACAAAGTAAAATACTTTGGGATTTTGAGTTTAACTTGCGTAATACATGGTAACCAGAAATGGTTTTGGAGAGTACCTTAATTAAGAAAAGGATTTTGCATGCTCTCTTGAAAAAATTCAACATATTTTTGAGCAATGAAATTTCGAAATTTCGACTTGACATCATTAGAGTTAGACAGAATTATAAAAAAGAATTTCAAATGAGGACAATGTTTATTATGAATCGAGAGTAGTGAAGAGGAAGTTCTGATAATTTGTTCAATAAAATTGGATAATGAATTATTTACATTGAATGGAAATTTGGTCTTGAACTAAGTCAAAAAAAGGTGAAGGGAGTTCCAGAACCATAATGGAAACGAAAGATAAAACAGGCAGGGAAGCTGCTTAGAGAGAGTATTAATACACTTGTGAAATATAAAGTGAAAGTAAAAGGAATAAAAATTATTTTGAATTGCCGAAAAAATATAATATTAAAATGAAAAGGTTTAAATTTGGTACTGGAAGAACTAAAACAAAGGCTGCAAGCCAAAATCACAAAAAGTAGGAGATATAAACAAATAATGAACCAATGTAAGATCAACCGATTGTTCTTACACGATCAAAAAGAGTTTATCAACTGTTTTATGAACAGGATAAGAGAAAGAAACAACTTATGCTGAAGAAATTGAAATGTTTTGAGTAACATCTCGGGTAAAACAAAACGACATCAAGAAAATGCTGAAAAGATTTAAGATCTGCGAAGAAAGCAGTAAAACAAAGTGACGTAAGGATTACAAAAAAAAATATGGTAAAAATCAGACTAAAAGATTGAAAACTGGAAATGCCCAGGACATGATGGAGTTTATTGGTACTGGTTAAAGAATTTTTCAGTGATGCATGAGAGAATTAATGGCCGCACAGATGAATGATAAAGTTATCGATGAAGCAGGATGACCATTAGTAAAACAGACGGAAGTTGATGACGTGAGCAATAACTAACTGTGTGTATACGTCCTTGAAATAAGTATTTTACCAGTGGCAAAAAAGGGATGTAGGTGAAAGACTCGACAAACGAAGCATCAAAATTTGATAAACAAGATGATCTTGAATGGTTCTAAAGAGACATACCATAATATGAATATGGCGGGGGACGTTTTTATCAAGGTATGTTATGTGTGGCCATCATATATGCCTTATTGTAGAAAGCCTCAAGCTTGTGCAGGTGACTGAGACTGTTGTAAATTTATTTAAGGAATAAAAAAAGAGCTGGAAAAAATAGTTAAAATCATGTGGAGAATTCTTGGAAAAACTTAATGTTATAGGAGAGACATATTTCAGGGAGATAGTTTGTAACCATCTGTGTGATGCTGTTCGTCATCAGTATGATTTTTCTTGCTCAGATTCTACGGAAGGATGAAAAAACACATGACAGTAAACAAAAATTGACAATAAACAAGGAACTGCATCCAAAAGTGATGTTGATTGTTTGTATATGTGTAGAAAGAAAGGAAGAGGAAGACTGATAGGACTTGTGGTCAGTGTTGTAAATGAGAAAAATAGTCTAAAATGGTATGTAAAACATCAAAGTAATCCTTTGATTGTTGCATTTAAAAAAATAAGTATCATAGCAAGCATGCGATGGATCCACAAGAATGGACAACAAAGGCTAAATAACTGGAAAAAGAAACAAATGCATGGTCAGTACACGAGAGTGATAAATGAAATATATACATTAAACAGCTGGAAATGTCTTTGCATCGGTGATTTAATAGGGTGTACATGAGCATTGATCTGTAAGGCTCTGGAGATTGCTTTGAGAACTAATTACATCCATTGTTGAATTATCTAGATCTAGATGAATGTAGTAAATTAGCGCAAAGGCAATACAAAAGGAAGTTCACTAACTACACCGATTGATCTTGTAAACAAAAAGCTTTCTTACAAGAACAAAGATCGAACAAGGCCTCTCTGTTCTATAAGGTTGTTTCATTTAAATCGATATATCAAAATGAACTTATCCATACTGTTTAAGTCTTGATCACCCTCAATTTTTGGATGTCAATGACGGACTTGAATGATGCATGTTACAGAAATTCAATTCATGCAAATCATACCGATATGTACGTGTAGTTTGGAAAATACAATATACATACAGTATTTCTAAAACTCTTATTAGTACGTCCAAGAAAAACACAAGACAGTAGACACTCCGTATAAAGTAAACATAATTTATTCTAAACGTTTCGACAAATGTTACATGTCATTATCACAATAAAATGTGAACTTTTAAAAAATTACAAATTATAAATAAGATCGTGACAAACCGTTCATTCTATATTCTTTTAGTTTAGTTGATATAATTTTTGAAAACTGTAAAATTATTGATCGTTCTAACAATTTGGTCATTATTATTCAAAGTGGCCTATCACATTCACCGTAACTGATCATCGATGGTGAACGCGCGTCACGTGAATAAACAATTTTCCGTTGATTATTTATTGATTTAATTTAAATGACGTGAATGAACGGTTATTAGCGATCTGATTTATAATTTGTAATTTTGGAAAAGTTCACATTTTCTACTGATGATGACATGCAACACGAATAATCTTTGTTTAAAAAGTTACAGACAAGCTGATGAGGAAGAATAAAGTTGAAAAATTACTTTGTGTCATAGCTTGAATCGAAAGTTCATATATACAGTTGAAAATACTTGTTCGTTCAAAAATGCAAGTTCACAGAACAGATATTTCACTAATAGCTTATTGACCGAATGCCCTAAATTTTCTCGAGTTTTTCTCTCTCTGGCAAAATTTGAGATTATTGCTTGCTTTGTGTAAATTGTCTGCAATAAACATAATGTCTTTAAAAATCTATTGTGTACGAAATTTATAATACTTGCCTTGTGCAATCTACTCTATAGCTTTATTGATTGAAATCAGTTCTGAAATTATGACCATATCGTGCTCGACATTGCTTCTCAAGTTTCATCCATCCGGGCTACATGTAGGGAGGCATATTGGGGTATGTGGGTGAAGTGACCTTTAGCACCCCTTATTTCACCTAGTTGCCCTTAAGTACATGTATTGCCATTGTACGTCGTCTGATTGATAGGATTTAATAAAGTTATGTAAATTATATTATATTCTCAGTATGTGTCAATTTGCAAATTTTACTATCGTGGAAAATTTTTCGCAAAAATCGTCTGTGCCATGTGCTTGTAACTAAATTAGTGCATGACCATGCATGCATCCATCATTTGAAACCTCGTCACTGCGGTTCTATGTATTGCATTCTCCATCAAAATAATTTTCACATATGAATCTTCATTATAAATGGCTTCACCTAACTGCCATACACATTAATGAATTATAACAAGACTCAAAATTACATCTTATGCAGGGTCTATTTCTACCAATTAAATGAGGTGCAAAACATTTCATTAAAAATCACATTTCTATTTGTCTATTAAATGTGTAATTAACTTAAATTACCGACCAATTAATAACTATTTGTGTGTATAACATATAAAAATGTCAATTCTTGGGTTCAATTGTGTGACTGCAAAACTTGAACTTTAGAGATACGTTCTTTGATTGAGTTGTAAGGACTAAATAAAATGTGCTACAATCTCAATTAATATTTGCACTTGCATTGTTTATTACATATTGAAATGAACAATACCCTGTTTTCTTCGAAAATGTTTAATTCCACTTGAATTAAAAATACGTTAAGATGTAATGTGTCCAATTAAAAACGAATGATGTGCAGAAGTAGCATCGCCAGGTTGTTTAGACTGGAGGGGGTGGGGGTGGTGGTGGAAGCACCAGCGATAGGAGACCTCAAAAAGGTTTCGGGTGTGTTACTCCTTAACAATATTTCTCACGAGTAGATTTTATGATAATATGAAAGCAACACGTATTAAGAATGGCAGCTTTCTTTTAGATGTGTTAACAAGTGCAACTAGGTCTATCTTATGGACGATGTTTATAGGTTGCTTTTTTTATCTTTACTTTGAAAGAAACTCATTATTTATACGGCTTAAATTAGATACATTGTAACCCCCCTCCCCCCCCAATACCTCAACCTGTTGAAAAAACTCAAAATTTGTCTTTAGAATAGCTGAGGGGTGGGGATACGTTCCTTAGGTCCCTCCCTGGCAACACTACTTATCTGCAAGTTCGTCTATCGCAATCTTCCATGTAAAACATCATCGGCTACGTCTTCAAGGCTCATTTCTTTTAAATGGGCAGCAAGCTCATTTCGACTAAAGTTCGATTTTCTGTTTATCATTATCAATATTTGTGTAGCTTTTTGTTCGGGCTTTGGATATTGAACGTTGTTGCTTCTTATATTTTCAATACCGCTTAAGGAGGCGAGGTTTCCAAGTTCGTCATATTCTCCCCCAATCCGTCGTGAAAGACGAAAAATTTCAGGCTGTGACAATTTGATGCTATCCTCAAGCAGATTAGCTGAATAAAAAATAAAAGAAAGTGGGCATTAAAATTGAATCGTGTAACACGATAATACTGCGACTACTGAGACTGGTTGTTGAAAGTGTTTGTGAAGTGCATTGAAGTATGCTGTGGTGAAGCATCCCCCAAAAGACTGGGTTTCATGAATGATAAATTCATAGTTGATTTTTATGCGCGAAAAACTTGCCCCAGTTTCCTAAGTTGAAGCGGGAAAATCGGCCATCTTGAATTTTAAACATTAAACGAAAAAACTACATACAACAAAAACTACGAAATTATGTTTTAACTATTTAGAAAGAAAAATTTGGAAATGCTGAGATCACAATATGAAATTGGAAAAGTATTATGTAGTATGAAAGCTTAGGTAAGAATGTTACATATTTTGTACTTAGATTGACCAAACAACATTTCAGGAGATAAAATCTTGAAATGTTGTTTCAACAATCTACAAAATATGGTATATATTTTAAAAAAGTCTGATAATTTGAATTTGTGGATTTTTCCTTTATTTTGGTGGTGTACTTGTAAGCATTGGTAGAAAAATTCAAAAATCACCATTTTCACTAATGTAGAGATAAGCAATTGGGCAACTTTACAAATTTAAGTATTCTATACCAAAGAATTTGATCCGAGGTAAGTCAGAAAGTGTTAGAATAAATGTTTTTTTGGATTCGACATAATTAGTACACAATCCTATTGGTATTATCTTGGCTATGATATAGTCTTTAGAAACAACAGCTAAGTTTTTGTACAGTTTTAATATTTCATCTTAACATTATACGTGAATAACAATCTTAGCACAATATAAAGTATGTAAAAAATAAATTCAGAATCAACCTGGATTTCCCACATCTTACTCCTCCCCTCTTTAAAATAAGACTTACTTTACTTCAACATGTGTTCAGTTAAAAATCAGAGATAGAGTCAGTAATTTTTATAAAAAACCACACACAATGGCTTGTAAATTCATAAATATTAAGTTATAACCAATGTTATCAAAAAGCAAATATTTTTTCTCAAGATTTTTAAAGCAAACTGAAACCATTTTTCAAAACAAGCTGATTTTTATGTACAAGATGTGAAATTTAATTTAGATTTGCATATTTGAAGAAGTTACCCTATTATAAGTGGGACAGATTCGAGGGAGTCGTGCAATGTTTTGGTGAATTACATTCCACCTCCCTAGCTCACACCACTAGATCCCTTCTCCTAACTAGTCCCTTAAATAAAATAAAATAAAATGACAAAATTTGCTATAAAGCTTCATATTCATAATCACAACACAATGGCATATGGTGATCATGAAATGATCTTTAATGAAACACACTGAGAGAATTGAGAGTTCAAGCAAAGTGCATTATTATAAACAGATTAGTTTTGACAATAACTGACTCATTTTAATGGAATGAAGTTGTTGTCAAAATGAATCAGTATTAAAAAAGGAGAGACGTTAGAGTACAAAAATTAGGAACAAATTGGCCTCTTACACCTGTTTTTTCCTGGAAAGATAGCTAATGGCAGTTTAAATCTAGCAGCAATAAATGCAAGACATGTCTAGAGCTTAGGTGTAAAATATTAAATCACTTAATTTTTTTGTTGTTATTGTTATTGACCAGAAAAGAACTAGTACGATTTAAACAAAACACGGATAGTTTTCATGAACGATTGAATATTTGGTATAAAATAATGTCAGTCATTTCGCAAAATTGCTTCACCGTTTGGTGTTTATTACGTCGCCTGTCGCCATGGAGTGATATTGGGATAATTGTTAAGTATCAAACTATATCAAATGATTTTGAAATATGTATTATGAATAAGTTGTCAATTTCTTAGAAATACTTGCCCATGTTGCTCATTATGTTTTCCCACTGCTCTGCTCACAATGTAAAAACCTCTGTTGTACTGAAGGATATTGTCGCTTATTACCGAAGAACGAACTCCTTCCGCATAGGAAGACAATTATTCAGAATATTTACAGGAAACAACTTCTTACGAAGTTTAACGTCTGCGCAGTAGACACAAAGCAATGTCAAATATTAGTGCGAGAGTGCTTGTAATGCTGCTAATTTCGTTTTTCTATGTTAACTACTCTTTATAATGAATTCCTTTGAGATTTCCATACATTTCAAAATTGGAACTTTTTTTCAGCAATATACTTTACTCGCAACGGCGATTTATGATAATGTCAAACAAGCAACGTATGAGTGTCAAATCATGTCATACACGGTATTATATTATCAGCTAAAAACTTTTTCTATTTTCATAAATTTAATAGAACAGCAATACAGTTTTTGATGGTTATGCACAAGAGAGCTCAAGAAGGAGAGTGATACACAATATCACGTCAAGTTGACCCTATAATTTTATGTATGGTCCCAGGTCGTGATGATATTTTTCATGTTCTGCTTTCTTTATGCATTCTGGCCGTCTATTTTTTGTACATAGTTCACATATGGTTTGCCTGACTGGATCATTCTTCCATGGATGGGCAAATTTGCATCTTGGAGGAATTTCCCCTTTTTTGTGATATTTACATTGAACTGCTTTATCTGCTCCTCGAACTTTTGCTCCGTGATAGATGTATCCATCTTTTGTAACACCAATTGGACGAAATGTTTTTTGATCACCTTCTGTTGTTCGTACCGTTCTGATGTGTTTAGTATTTGCTACAGCTGTTTTTAGGTTTGTGGAATGCTGAGAACTAGATGAATTGCTGGTTCCTGGTTTTGAGTCTTGATGAGCTGTACTTGGATGCCTACTTTGGTCTAGTTTTGTTATTTTTGCATTTGACGCATGCGGCTCCCTTGAGGAGGAACCGTTTTTCTGTGCTTTGATTTGTGCGACAGCATATTTCTGTGAAGTATACATTTCCTCTTTGAATTTTTTCTCCAACGCTTCGTATGTATCTTTATCAATGGGATCATAAGCATATGGTCCTGTAATGGTAAATCCCAAGCAAAACAATAAATCATCACGACTTTCGTGCGGATATCTGTCGTTATCAAATGGAATTTCGATTCCTTTGTAATTCAACACGCCCTTTTTGATTTTTTTGCCTTTCAAACGTTCTAGTTTATCGAACACTATTTTGCTCCGCCAAAATTTTGTTTCAAGCTGAACGGAACGGCTGTGAGGGATTTCACTTTTAGTTTCCTGGTCGTTGTCATCTACAACGTGAGGCAGAATGATTGCTTTTGCACCAATCCCCTTTCCTAATAAATAATCGGCGCCAGATCTTCGTGATCTTGTGCTAGTTTGCATGATTCTCATCCGGCATATATTAATAGAACGCTTGACTGTGTCAACATTGGTTTTCAGTGAACCGTTTGGAATTGGGAAATGAATCATGTAATTATACATATGTGCCCAGTCTGAATCAGGATACTTCTTGCACCAATTTTGGATCATTTCCAATAATTTATCAACACTGATATCTTGTTGAACTGCTGCTTTTACATAGATCAACATGGCATTGCGACTTCTAGTCTCTCGTGGAACTGCCCCTTTTAGTAGGTTGTATATCTTTTCAATGTGCTGTGAAGAGAGCCTCGCCCAAGAACTGTAAGGTGTTTCGTGTAGTTTGTACAAGAGATCATTGACAATGTCCTCCTTCAACACAGACTCTTCAGTTTGAATGGCTGTCCTATCAAGTTTCGTGACTTCGTAGAATCTTGTTCGTAACTTCATTGCTCGGATTTTGGCATTTTCTAATTCTTGAAATTCATGCTTTTTGTAAGATAGTTTTCGTCTAATTTGTATTTCGCCAAAAAAATCGTTAAAATCTTGAACAGCACTTGTTGTTAGATAAATAAAGTACTCCATATTGTCTTCGCTTAAAAGTGAAACAAGCTCTGGAGGATGATTGTGATAAGTCAGATAATTTTTGAAACTTTCGTCAGCGCCATCGGAATGATTTACAAAATAAGGCAGCTTTTTGAACATTTCTACGACCACAACCATTGTTTGGATTTTTCCAATTATGGCATGCAAGTAGCTACCGTGATCTTTTGTCTTTAATGTATCTTCATAAAGGTCAATCCCTTTTCTGGTTGTCTTCATTGCATCCTCCATGACAACTTTTAGTTGGTCATTTTCGGAGAATTTTTGTTGTAGATACTTCAACTTGATTCTGTAAAATGTTGCTTTGGTCACTAAATGATGGAGAAGGGACACTTGAAGTTTTATCGCTTCATCTATAACTCTTTGTGCAGTATCAAAGCCATTTTCTGGCAAGTCAGCTGAACGATAATCCCTTTCAACAATTCTATCTAAGCGTTCTATAATAGGATGAAGTTCTTCTGAAATAGGATTAATTTGAATTTCGTAAGCAAACATCCTTGCTATTTGTTGAAGGGTGTGAGCTTTGTGATGCGTAAGTTGTACTGTCTCATTCAAAGTGATCAAAAGATCCAATGCTTTTCGCACGTTTTCCATTTCTTGATTGGGTAAAACATCCAGGATAAGTTTGGAATACTTAGTTCTTTTTTCTAAAATTCCAACAAGTTCATCTTCAATGCCATCGCTATCAGTATCAGCTCCGCTATCATCAGACTGACTTTCTGCAATCTTTTCACGGTGAAGAAAAACTGTTACAATATCCTCAGTCAAAAATTTGTTCACGTACGTGCTCTTATTTTTGATTTGTTCCATCAGCTTTTTGGCAGTTTCAAATAAGTCGATCCCTTCTCTTACAACCTCTCCTACCAGTGTGTGCGCTGGTCTCCATCCATAGTATCCCACATATTCATTTCTATCTTCCAACAGAAGTCCGCCAAATTTGTCATGAATTTTATCTATTCCTTTTTCCTCTTCATCCTCGAAATAGAGGATAACTTCAACACACGGATGAGGGAATATAGATCGTCGTTTGTTGTAGTAGTCTAACAGACAGCTGTAATGAAGAATCATCTGAAATGCATGTTTCAATTTATGCAGGCTTTTGGATAGAATTTGCTCAATATGTTTTGCCAGCCGTGTTTTGATGTCAGCATATTTGCGTCCAAAAAGTTCCAATCCAAGCCACACGAATCTTCGTTCGCGGCTTAAAACTTTGACTGCTTCTGATATGCGCTCATTCTGTAAGGTACTGAGAACCCCGTGTACGAGACTTGTTTCAGTGACATCTAGCTTCCCAAGGGTAAAATTGTCGTCATCAGTATGTGTTTGTTTGTCAACAGGCACCGTGCTTAGAAAAATGCATTTTGTTTTACTTTTTGTAAGTTTGTCGCTGAGGTGATGAACTTGCTGTTCGGGAAAGTTATCGAGGAGTATCAAAACTGGTGGTATCTGAAAGTGGCTGATATCCGATGTTTCAAAGAGAAATTTCTGTAGCTGGCTGATCTGATAATCTGTTGTCTCGGTAATCTTTTTTACTACAGCACATCTGTAAATTTCTCTTTTCTTCCATAGGATCTGCCGTCCAAGAGTTGTTGCTCCTGAACCAGATTCATATCGCAATGTCACAGTTTCGACAAAATATTCGATTTCATCGAGAGATGACAAATTTTTCAAACTTTCATCAACACGATGACAAAGCCTTTTTTCCAGGGTTCGGTGAATTGCATCGTTGTAAAAGAGGTTCATTTGATTGATCGCGTTGCCCTTGTAAAAGTTCTCTTTTGCTTTTCTAATATCCTCCAACTCTTTACTTAATTTGGGGTCTGGAAGATAAACTTCTAAATCTGTGAGTGACGTAATTCTTTTGTTTGGAACTGGTCGATGACAACCATCTAAGTAGGGAAGCTCAGAGGTTGCGTCAGGCTCTTCTAGCTCACCTGCACGAAGTTGCTTCATCACTATGTTCTTGAGAATGTTTATCGGAATTCCGAACACGGAGCATGGAGGCTTCATGTCCCTCTTGATGTCATTTTTTAGTTCATCTGCTAACTTCGCTCCAAGTTCTTTCTTATCGGATATGACACTGATATGCTTATGAGCATCGTTTCCTTGGATAATGGTGAACGATGCCTCGATAATATCAGCCATTTCTTGCAAATTTGTGTCACTCATCAAAAGAAAAACACAATGGGGACGTCCCGTAGGGCAGTCACAGAAGGCTGACAACGCTTTGTACAACGAGTCTTTGGAATATCGTGTCCAGTTTTTCTCATGAAACTCCTCACCACGGGTGATCCAAGTTGTATCAACTTTTAAGAGTTCTTCATTTTTTTTGGAATCACTGAAGTCATGTAGTTCTTTCTTTATTGGTTTTCCTCGATCATTTGTTTCATTTACAATAAAATAAAGGCCATCCTTCTCTGTTTTAATGTCAAACAGATCAAAGACCGCAAGCCAAGGTATCATTTTTAAAAATGCTAAAATGTTCGAGTCTCTGTATTCTTGTGGAACTTTGTTTGCTATCAGAATAAAACTATTTTCTTTGAAATTAAGATCTTTTAAACTGTTTCTCACATTCGTACGGAGCACCTGAACATCCACTGTCTTCATGGAATCTGAAACAGGTCAAGATACTTTTGCATAAAATAGACATTGTTAAATCTTTAGTTTTATTACATTAAGCTACCTGTTTTGTTTTGTGTGACCTGTTTTTCTACAAAATACAAAAATAGCTTTTTTAATCGATGAAAGAGATTTGTTACAACTGCAGTTGTTCAGTTAATTGGATAACAATTTCATTTGCTATAAACATAAACATGTTGCTATTTGATTACATGTATAAATTTTTACCTTTCCATTCATTAAACATCTTCGTAAGGGGATTTTTAACATGGCTTTCCACATCATTCGCTTCAATGAGCTGTAATTTCCCTTGTGTCCTGAGCACCACTTCCCATTTATCTTTTTCAATTCTGTATAAATCATCCAGTTTCATTGTTACTAAATGTACAATGTATATAATAATTTATCAAACATAATATATATATTATAGGGTGTATAAAAAAACTGAACAGATAAGAAAACGTCGTTAAAGTTTTAAGCGCTCAAGATCTGCATAAACCTTTGATGAAATAGGTGGTTGGACGTCCAATGGATCATATGACGAGAATTGTGTTACCGAGAAGTACTTTTGAAATAGCTTGCGCACGAAAATGACAAAAATAAAAAGCAATTGGAAGACTTGGGGTCAAAATATGGCACATGCTTTTTAAGCTCAAAGATAGGCAAAATTGATGAGGGTTATAACATGGTGACATTTAAGAAGGAAAAATTCAAAAACAATTCACAATTTGAAAGCTAAGTGTTCGCGTGTACGCATTCAGCCAAATTTCCTAAAACTTTGTAAGCTTGAACAACATTTGCCTTATTTTAACCCAATTGTTATATAGCGGCTTCATTTTCGTGCGCTAGCTATTTTAAAAGTGCTTCTTGGCAAGACAATTCTAATTCTAAAATTTTTAATTCTTGGTACAATTTCACTGTTAGATAAACCATTGGAAGTCTAACTACCTATTTCAACCAAAGGTTTTTGCAAATATTGCGTGTTGGTGACTTTATTGACGTTTTCCAAACTATTCAGTTTTTTATACGCCCTGTATGTATTGAGAATGTTAATTTTGTTGCCTTCACAATAATTTTTTTTTAAATTTAATGGGTTGAACTTGTAGTATTGTTACTTGAATGTAGATGTAGATCTTTCAGGTCACGGGAGTTCCATTTTAGCGAGAGTCATTACAATAATATACTTAGTTTATTTGATAATATTTACTTCTTTTTTCGCCCGTGAAACGAAACAATTGCTTTTAATTTGTTGTTTCATAACGTCCCAACTTACCAAGTATTTGTGCAGCTCTCTGGGACATCATCAGCTCTGAATATTTGTTTGCATTGCGTTCAGCAGTTTCCAAATTTCCTGTGTTGGTGTTGTGAATTTTTATACATACATGGGATATCAATTTATCAATGAATATCAATTTAGCAAAATATGGCTGAAAGAAAATACTTATTTTTACAAGCATAGTTTTCAAGAATTGTTTTGTCGTATAAATTTTACCTTTTACTGGATATCTAGAGCGACATCTTGCACACATGGCAGCTGACGTGTCATTGTATAATGCTTCATGTGTCATATACTAGCCAAGTAAAATACATCTGTTAGCTAGAATGTAGTAGCATTTAGGATAATACCTGAAGCTAATTTCCATTGTTTGAACCATTGCTTGCTAAATTTAACTGCAACTCCTCTTGAAATTTTTAAAGTCTTTAATAAAAAATGTGTTCAAATTTATTGCAGCACTAAATATAAAATCATTATGTATTCGCTAATATAAGGCAACAGCAAACCTGTAACTCGTTGCGCATTTCGTTTTCCGTTTCCATATAGTTAAGGACTTTGTCCTACAAGCAACAACATGCTTTAAAAACATGGTAAAAATCTTGCAGAGAGGTGAAATTGTACACTTATAGTATTGACCCGACTATATTATATGATATTCCGTTGGTGAATACGAGTATGACTCTAGATTTTAGTTTACTGTATTTGCATTATAGCCAATGTATGTTTGTTGTCAATTTCCAGTGAATTTGGATCTTGCATGATTATTCTATGGAACAATGCTGCTTTGCGAGGACGAAGGATCAACAATGAAAATTGGCAGCTGTCTTTATTCCATTAAACTTGTGTTGCATTAAACAAAACACGGCGATTTATCTTACCGTAAAGTCATTTTTCTTGAGAATCTCAAACAAATTCTTTTCGTCGATTGCTTCCAAGACTGTGGCTGCCAGCGAAAAGTCTTGGTTATTGGGAGCAGTGCCCGACGCCATGTTCTGCGTTTTGTTGCTAAGTCAGGCAGATGTTTTGAAGAGACAATTTATGCTGCGTTTCAAAGTGAAAGAAATATTTCTTGGTCAGTTAGTCTTATTATAGAACAACTTTAAATTGTTAGTTGAAACTAAGGTTTTGTGTGGGACATATTTTGTGGTTGAAATGCAACTGGTTCTCTTGTAGTTTTTGAAAATGTTTCCCCCACAAAAAGTTAAATATTTGCCACTATTGCAAAAGCTAGGTTCAATATTTAGTGGATCCTCTGGTATACCAGAAAAAAGGGTAAAAAGGTTCAAATTTAATGGGTCTTCTTGTCGTTCGGATCACAGCTTTACATCTACAGTACATGCTTTTATCAAGTTATACATAAAGCCATGCTCAATAGCTTTAGTTGAGGTCAATAGAGGGATTTGACGCTTGGACAAATGTATTGACATGATCCTAAAGATTCTCAATGGGGTTGAAGTTTGGTGACTTTGGAGGCCTGTCCACTACGGTGAAGCTCTTTTTGTAAACCATTCCATAACCAGCCGGGAAAGGGGGAAAGTAGCAATATAGCATTATCCTGATTTGGAGTACCCTGCCACTGGACATCGTCAATGTATGTTTTATTTGCTTGAGATCATTCTTTTTGGTATATCCCTTCCTCATTCCATCTTCCATTTATGGCAGAAAGGCAGCCAGCACCACTGGTCAACTGTCAAATCTTGTGTGCTCGTGCAAACTTTAGGCTGCACTTCTTTTGTTTAAGATATGGGCTCTTCCTAGGCTCTCTGGCATTACAAACAACCTCTGTAAGACTTCTTTGGATGCTAGATACTTCTATATATGTTGATATCGTGTTCCATTTGTATCTGAGCTTTTATTTGTAGACTCTTGACGTCATACAGTCCTGACAAGATTTGATAAGTTTTGCCAAGGCGCCAAAGGAACTGCCATGACCAGAGCCTTGTATTTATAAGAGTTGGGACACGTATTACATTTCTCTGCATTTCGTGTCATGATCAATATGATTGGTTAAATATTGTCACATGGGCATCTCGCCGCCATTTTTGTTCCAAAAGCGCGAATAAAAATCATGTTTTACATATTGACAGACAAATTATAAAATAATATTTATTCAATGATTTTATGTTGTGTTGTAATAGTGCCAATCAAAGCGATGAAGAATATAGAAATTTACGCCCTCCCTTAATTGTGGCAAAAACAATATTAAAGGTGTATGAACAACATCCACTTCATTAAATAAATGCTTTTCTATTATTACGATCTATAAACAACTGAATTCTAAGGGTGGCGATCGCTGTGTATTCATAAATAAAAAAACACAACAGAAAATTTGTCTTTCCCCCATTTAATGCTCTATATTGGCTTGCTTTTGAAGGACGCTAGTCAATTTCACTTTCCTTGTCCCAACTTTTTCGTATATAGCTCTCTGGCCATGAGTACAACCCATTCAAGGAGAAATTGTTAGTTGGCTGGGGCCTACTTCTGATAATGCCAACACTTTTCCATGATTGTCCAAACCTAGTCTTTGCTTTGAACACATTTCACGTGTACAATTTTTTTATCAATATCAAATTATGAATTCGTCGGCGATATGTTGCTCACGTAGTATAAACCATATAAACGTCAAGTCAAGTTTGAAAAACTAAAAATTTCTAGTACGGTTAGTTAGTTTATTAATTTCTACACATGGCAGTTTAAAAAATAAATTACGTTTGAATTATATGCAATAAATAAATTTTAAAAAAATGCTATTTACGTGAAATGTTAAGATTTTAGAATAATATTTAAAAAAGGGTAAAAAAGCTAAATATTAATATTAATTAAACTGTAGAAGCAAAATAATTAATAAAACAATCCATGAATCAGTCTTAATAGGTAATGTATATTTTGTACATAATATAAGTTGAATGTTATGTGGATTAAGTGGCGGTTCTAAATTAGGCAAGATAGGATTGCAGAATTATGCCAAAAAATGTTTGCTTTAAAAATATATCTCCGAATTGGATGTCTTATGACAGGTATGGCTGAATGGAAACGTGTTTTTTTCAACTAATTTATTTCACCTGTAAACATTGTACAATACAATATAAAGCAATACGAACTATATTTTCAAACAGCGTATTATTGTATGGATATGTGACAAATAAATACACTTTACGTTTGGCGATACACTCTACCTGTAATGTAATATAGAATTATCATACTAGATTAATTTATCAGTAAAATTCTAAGAATTCATAGGTTTAAAGTCCAAGTCATGAAGAAAAATCACGAAGATTTTATTATAAAGTACGAATTTTTAATGCTTAAAGCAAACCGAGAATCAAATACGTTTTGTGAGTAATTAAGCCTATTTAGCAAAATTTCGTCTGAAACGTTTTTATATAGGCTAATATCCGTGCGGAATACATGAAGCGTTCATTCGATGTACATGAAAACCACGAACTTTGTATTGGTATGCCAAATGTTGAGTCAAATGACGAAGCCGTAGCATATGTAGACCGGCTTTGTTGACTTAAAAAGCATTATTACAAGCTAATGCTACATGTAAAGAAAGAGTGCAAAGTGCATAATACTTAATTCATAAGGAAAATACTCTGACCATTGGCGTAGGTTATGTATATGTTTAAATTTAAAGGCTTCCGGTTTATTGTATGACTTAAACGTCGTTTTTTAAAAAATATGATTAAATAATTGATACACTTGCCTTGTTTAGTAGTTATAATACAATTAACACCATTCATTCAACGTTAGCTTTAACAACAGCATTCCACAATTGACATCTTTTGGTCATCCAGTCCTTCTTTCCTGTGTATATGTGTCAGTATACAACATATTTGTAAATAATATCCATTGTGGTATGTTGTTAAGCGAACTTTGGCACTCGTTGACCTGAATAATTAATTATACATTCATGAAACTTGCTGGGCGGTTCTAATATATAAAGTATGCAAAGTTTCGTTTTTTGTTGTTATTCCATCTGAATCGCACTTCATAACCAGGTAGTGTGTTGAAAGACGCAAAAACAAACCATTAGTTCATTAGTTGAAAATAGGTTTAAGGTTTAATCAATACAAGACACCTGCAACCATAAACATAAATGCTTTTCTGGAAAGAATAAAAATACCGGTTATTATGGGTGGAGGGGCTGCTAGCTTGATAATTGGCAGGGTGAGGGTAATATTTGTACATACATGTTATAATCCCTAAAAACAATTGATTGCAAAAGAACTTGATACTGCAAAACAGGCATATATGAGTATTTCACAATTATCCATCTTAGGTATTGAATGTTTATATGAAAGAATCTAAAAGACTAAAAGGTTGTATTGCGGTTACTATTTTATTGAAATTAATAATTTATATTTTATTTATGTTAATTTATTCGTATAGCTATATTATATGCTGTGATTCTGTCTTGTGCGGGGGTCGCTTAATTTAAGTGATGAATTATAATATGGTAACAGAATTTGGATCTAATGTTGAACTTTTATATTGCGATATATTTTCATCGCTACGCTAGAAGCCTGCACTAGTCTAAGTTGTTTAACCTAGTCTAACATAAGTTGTTTCAGTCATCTTTTTCACAACACATCTATAAGTTTTTTCTTTTCTTCAATAAGATCTGCCGTCCAAGAGTTGTTGTTGCTGTTAAATCAGACCATTCACAGCCCTGTTTCTATAGGGTTTGATGAGATTTATTTGACTGTTAGCGTTACCTTTGCAGAAAGTTTCCTTTGCCTTTTCAATGTCTTCTAACTTATCACTTTTAGTTTAGGTTGGGGAAGACAAACCTCTAAGTCAATACAAGTGATTTGTTCTTTTCGTTTACTACTGGATGATGATGCGTATGCATAGCTCGACTGGCGTTAGGTTCTTCTAAGTTCTCCAAGTAGCTCCATAAAAATACTTTTGAGAAAGTTCACTGGAACTCTTAAGATAAGCATGGAAGTTTTACGTCCTTCATTTCATTTTTTCCTTATTCTTTCTTCCCTATATGACACTAATATGCTTATGAACGTCGTTTCCTTAAATAATGGCGTGAAATAATTCTTCGATAATATCAGTTATTTCTTGTAAACTTGTGTCACTCAATGAAAAGAAACACACAATGGGTACGTCCCACAGGGCAGTCTCAAAAAGCTGACAACGCTTTGTACAACGAATCTCTGGAATATTGTGTGCAGTTTTTCTCATGAAACTCTTTACCACGGGTGATGTATCAATTTTTAACAGCTCTTAATTTTTTGAATTTTGTATTGCACTGTGTTTGAACTGTTTACTTGTTTTTGATTATGCTTACAATATTTATATATCATACAAAGTTTGCGAACTAGATTTTATGTTAAATGAACAGAGTAAGTTTACTTTATGATGTTTCTGACATCATATTCAGAATTATTGATGTTCGCTGACACTAGAAGTAAAAATGACAAAAGATGAAAGGTGTTATGTAGGGATGATTAAGAGTGTGTGTTTCGCGATGTTCCATGTAACACTTCGTCAGCTAAATCTTCTCTGTGCATTTCCTTTAAATAGTGAGCAAGCTCTTTTCGACTAAAGCTCGATCTGTTGTTTATCATTTCCAGAACTTTTGCAGCTTTTTGATCTGGCCTTGGAAGTTGGACGTTATTGCACGTTACGTTTTCAACTCCGTTTAAATTGGCGAGGCGTCCTAGTTCGTCGTATCTTCCCCCTATCTTTATTGAAAGTCGAGCAATTTCAGGCTGTGATAAACCAGTGCTTTCCTTGAAAGTATCTGAATACATAACAAGAGTAAAGAATTGTTAAATAGTCAGAGATGCCTGATAACAGGCTAAACAACATGAATTGTGATGTTATACATCGATAATGCAAAAGCATTTATTGGATGACAAAATTTCATTTTACCTAAAATTTATTGATGTCCACATACGAAAAGATGACGAAACAAAAAGTCGTAAATCTACGTTACGAAACGACTTCACTTAAAAAGCTGCTCGTCGTTAAAATCAATTTTGTTTCATTGTAACAATGGCAATGCGCACCACTGTCCAAGTCCAAGAGAATAATAAAAAGGGACGTATCCATAATTATACCAACGTCATGCACAAAGGGTGTGTCACAACTCAATAGACTAAATTACCTGTTTTGTCAGTAGTGACCGTTAAAAGCTTTCTTAATGGAGAGAAATGTGTCAGAGCTAAAATTTTATTTACACTTTCTTTCCAAATCATGAAATTCATTTGAAAGTTAATTTTTTAAAATGTCTATTACGATCAGGGTTTATGACTGGTTAATAATACAACCAACTGCAATACAATAATAGTGCAAATAGTCTGTGCTCATCGCTATTGTGTAATTCACCCGATCGGGAAAAACATTCATATTAGGTTGGTACCATTGAATTATAATAAATGGAAGGCTGAATAAAGATTAAGCCTCATCACCTTTAATGCCACAAAACTTTTATAAGTTTATTTTGTGAACAAAATCAGAAAAAAAAAGACTTCGGAAACGTGTAGCTCGGCGCATGTGATACACGTAAATTGACCTACGGTGTCTAGAGGTCAAACTTGGCTTCAAAAAAGTAGTAGGTTTTTCTGTTACAGGTATCTATTATTGTTCAATGAATTTGTGAAACTCCCCCCTCAAATTATGCGTGTTTTTTTGGCGACCGATGTTTGTTTAGGCTGCTTAGCAGCTGAAAAGCGTGAAAAAATGATTTTCGTGCTTTTACACATTTTGTGCTTGGAAATTGTATCATGATTAGTTTATGCAACAGCAAGATATTTTCGAGGAGAAACATATTCAGCAAAAATCGAGAACGAACGATCGGCAAACTAATACAAGACTACAAGACGAAACTGTTTGTTAAAAAATATGCATTAAGAAATAAAAGATGTTTACTGGGTTTGCACAGGCTTATGCAAACGGAGGAGACCTTTGGGAGAACTCCAGAGCAGATCAGTGCAAGCTCGAGAGAGAAGGTCGTGGCTTCCATAAAATTGACAAATAATGTGTTAATCACAGTGCGAAATACGACCTCGGTTATCAACGAACTGGCAATAGTGCGCAGTAGTCTACTGCGCAGTCTGAACATAAAAAGAAAAGAGCACATGTCACGCGTGCATTCAAAGTTCTAGGGTTTTTGTTGTTGATGTTAAAAACAATTAACCCAATAGTAACCAACCACTATAAGCAATATTTTTTACCGTGTAAACATTTAACTGAGTGAAACAGAAAATTTAATAAGAATGAATGCGATGCTATTAACTCGATTAAATATACTTCTCAAAAACAAAGAATGAAGAAACGAAGAATTGCTCTTCAGTAATTGATTCGCTGTTTGGTTACAGGAATCAGTCATATCTACAAAGCGTACGACAACATATTTATTGTGAATCAAAAGCAAATAGAATGCTAGAGATTAATAGTTGTTTTTTTCACAAATGTTGTATGATTGAATTAACAATATAATTGCTTTTTTCAGATGAAGTACAGAAACCACGCATCGTATGAATGAAAGCGAGAAAAGGTATCGTAAACACGTGTAGAGTGTAGAAATTATAACGCAAAGTGGCGTGCAAACTAAAAATTTGTAGTTTGTAGGCCTACCTTGACTTTACCTTTGCAAGGAAGTTTGTGTCAAAAAGCATAGAATGTTTTCCTCAGTGTCAATAAATAAGTATTTATTGAACGAGAAATTTATGTTAGCGGTCTGGTCTTTTCTTTTGAAACAAACTTAAAATAGAATAATACTCGAAAAAATAGTTTGATCAATCATAAATACCAAATAATGCCGAAAATACAAAGTTACAAGTATTCAAATAGTTCCAGTCTCCTGTACACGCCATTATGTGGCGGCACATCTTGGCTGTTTTGTTTATTCAATTGTTTTCTTTTTTACTTATTAGAAACAGACTGAAGTTTTATTGATGAATGTCATCAATCAAGTTGAAATGATGATAGCATCATTATTTGGGTTACCGAAGGTTAGCCAGAGTTCGAAATTCCGTTTTTCCCGTGTTGTTGCGAAATTACACAAATCAAACGTGACTGATACGAATTTCTTGAGCTAATCAAAATCTTTCTTGGATCGTTTCACGTGTAACACTAATGACGCGTACAATAAAACATTATTTACTTACATAAAAATATTGCCAAATGTGATATTACATTGCCATGAATATCGCTGTGCTATTTGGCAACTATTTTAATACGCAAATATAACCTAACACCTATGTCGAGTGGCCTGAGTGAACGCCTGATAAGTGCGTCGTTTATAATTTGCACAAACACATTGTGATGTGAAAAGTCTGAGATCTTGGTGATGTTGCTCCTTGTGCTCTTTTATTTCTCCCTTTTTCACGTTTCGTACAAATTTAACAAGGTTTTGTCTGATTGGATCATTTGTCCATGACTGAGCAAATGTGCATTTGAATGAATATTGCTACGATGTAGCTGTGACGCTTACATTCAACAGTAAGATTTATTAGCTATACAAACCCAGGCACCGTGCTGTTTCTGCCTACTGTCCAGTGCTTATTAGACACTTTGGACCAAATGTCTTTTCGTGACCTTCGTTGTGTGCATCATTATAATGAATTTTGAAGCTTTTTTTTCTTTCCAAAATGCTGTTGTACTGTTCGAAGTTCTTTAAACAGCAGCATGAAAGTACTTGCCTGTAATCCAGGGAAGTGCTTAAACTGAAATGATTCAGTAGTTGAAGCTGCCCTGATAAATGTTCTTTCCTGCATATACTTATGTATGAATGCAAAACCTTTTGGTTTTGTAAGCTTTTGTTTTATTCATTGCATTGCTTTTTAAGCATAAACTGATAACATAAAATTCATTGCCAAAAAGACCGATAATAATAGTGTTGGTCTGTATGATTTCGAGAATTTGCACGTAGCCAATATTTACATACTATTATTGTATTTTAGGTTTAAATATATTAAACATGAACTTTGACTACGAAGTTTTAAGTTACATCTTATACAGATTTTTTTTATTTAAAATGAAGTGCAAAATAATTTTACATGTGCTTGTACAAAAAAATGTTTATTTGTTTTGTATACATCGCCATTCCTGGGTTCAACTGCCTAAATATGTCTAATCAACATTATAGATACTTTATTCAATTGTTTTTACTAGTAAGGACTTGCCAAAATGTTAGACCAGCTCAATTCATTTTGCACATGCATAATTTATCATAAATTTAAATTTAGAAGAATATGAAAAATTCATGACGCTGGTGTTTTATTTACAAGTGTTGATATCCACTAAAAACATAAATTATTTTGTTGCAATAGATGATAAAAGAATTGTTAGGTGTGCTTCTTTAATGGTTGTCAATCAAATTCTGAACGCTATATATTATACAAATACTTCCTTGTTTGATGAATTTAAAGAACTCTTCCCTTACAATTATTCTTTAGAAGGACAAATAGATTAAAAGCATACCGCGCAGCTGACAAATTAGACCTTCATTTAAGCGAGTTATATAGCGAATAAAATTAATTCCTGCCAATTCCTTACCAATTCTTTGTGCAACATGTTGCAACATCATTTTCGGCGTGTTTCAATGTGGCTTTTCACCACGTTGTTCAGCTTCAAATTTTACCACAATAGATGTTGTGGATATTTTTTGAATGTTATACATAACACAAAAATTAGTGTTATGTTGAATCAAGAGTCAACGTCAAGATGAATGGCTCTAAAAAGCACAATTTTGTTCAAAGTGTTCATGCATAAAAGGCATTAATCGAAAGCTCTCATCTTTTTCTAAGAAACGTACAAACAATTTTTTTTTATGATCGTCTTTCGATATTCTTTTGAAGATTATTCTGGTTGTCACAAAATATAAACATTATATAATTTAATAAAGAACGACTAGAGTAAATATTATAATTGCTAAAAGTTTCATGTTCATGATGAATTAGCTTGCGAGGAATTCGAATTAACAGACACTCTATAGTATGTATAAGCATGTCGATGGTTGCACACACTTAATATTCGTGCATGATAATCATAATACACTGTTAATTTCAAGGAGTTACTTCAACTCCAGGGGTGTTAACATAAATACTTTTGGTGGAGTATAAAATTAAGAGTTATTTCAACCCCGAAATTGGAGTTAAATTAACCCAAATTGGGGTTACATGCACCTTTGAGTTGATATTTGGGGCAAATCGAACAGTGTAACAGAATTCAACGGAATTCAACGGAATTGTTTGACTGTTTTGTAAATCTCAAAGCAATATGCATACAAAGTAAAATTTTATGCTTTTAATTGATTTCATTTTTTATTCTCTACATTAGAATTATTATATAAATTAACACCTTATGAAGAATAAACAGTTAGACCTCTTCATTGCGCAAGTCAGTGATGTATATTAATGAATTAATGATTGCTGATAGCCGGCTTTGCGTCGCTATTGGTCAGAAAATGCAATTGCTACCATTATGGTAAATAAGAGATTCGTCATCCGAAAAAATTCAATGGAATGGCTAACTGCTTGTTTCCTTACCTTGCACCCGTGTGTGTAGTGAGCACTGCATTTTGGTAGTTTGTTAAGCGAACTTTGGCATTGCAGGGAGGCGGAGGCTCAATGTGTTATAAACAAGATCTTTTTTATCTTGATTGCTCTATATCAACAGGTATTATCAACATCTATTGTATAACAAATTATAAAAAGGGCTGTTGCTGGAGGCTGTCAGTTTTTATGCCGTGATTGCTGTTTAAAAATCGTTTAAAAAAAAAGAATGCGAAAACATGGTCTGCGCTTTGACTTTGTCGATAACAATTAGGATTTTAAAACAAACAAAACTTAATCTTTTTTCTACTTGAAGAAAAAAGCATTAAATTAAAGAGAGATATAAGGACAGCAATTAGTGATATGCTCACTCTAATGGCAGTTTTTGTTACTTGAGGCTTTATTAAAGAATTGATAAAAAAGTGATCGGAGTGATCAAAATAGCACAAAATCATTTTTGCAAATATTTGCAAAATTCTTCCTTTCTGAAACTGAAATCACTACCTTACGTCACGATGCAAAGATGCGCCGCCATTTTGAACAGTCCCACTCATAATAATAATCTATAGTAAAGAAACACGATAGCAATGAATTTTGGAGCGCATTGTACTAATAAACGCTAAAAAATCTTTCAACGTGAAGCTGTTTTGTCAAAGCAACATAAGAGACGCTTCTCGCAATTTTTCATAGCAGAAATTATACTTTGTATGTCAACCTCGTGATGTAAGAGTGTTCAATAAGGCGGCCAATCTACAATTCCGCCTTAAATTCAGTTAGCGATGCGCGCCATGTAATATACATATCAATGGCTGGTGCCCACGATTATTTTAATGATATGGTAATAACATAATTGATAGATTTAGAAGGCAAGCCTGCATGTAAAATAAGTGATCAATAATGGCAATACAGAAGGTGACGAGCTGAACGATGTCAAATTAGATTTCTTTCTCAGACTTAAGAGCTCAGGCAGCATGTACATGGATTGAAATGTGAAGATCCTGAAAAGCTCAGACTTATTATTATTTTACAATTAATATCAATGATTATCACTTGTTTAGTCTAATCGATTTAATTTAGCATCGTTCTTGCAAATAAATACTTGCCAGAATTACAATCTTACTGTGCTTTACACTGTGCCTGTGCATGAGCGTTATACCATGTATGTATTTAAAAGTCTGCATTGAGGTTTAGTGCACCGGGCAGTCAACTGCCATTTTTTTACTCGTTACGTATCAAAGCAACTAATTTTTTGAAAACATACTAAAAATCAGTTGAATTGTTTCAAAAAGTAAAAAAGGTTAAAAAAAGTCAACAAAGAGTTTTATTTATGTGCGCATGTCTTGTAGCAACCGCACCCAGTCAAATCAAGAGCCTTCAAAGCTTCATCTAGTCGAAGGCAAACATAAGTATTGTCTTCTTTTTCATTTTGCAAAACACCATATCCTAAAGGCACGTTTACCCCTCCTTCATTCTCAAAATATACGAGAACTCCCGAATCACCAGATCGAAGAAAATCTTCGCTACTCTCCACCTTAAGAGCATTTTTAAATAAGGTATGCTTATCGTACTGGCACGAATAGTTGATGTCAACAAGTTTTCCTGTTTTGCTGCAACCGTTCTTTTTCATTTCGACACCCCCATTTTTTTTTATTTTCTTGGGCAATCCATTCCATTTTTTATTCCAATGACGAGGAATATCTACGTCAAGAAGAGCTTTAGTGCAATCAATGGACGGATCATTCGCATTTTCAACCTTTATTGCCATTATGTCGACTTCATCGTTATATTTCGGGAAGGCTTGATTACCAAGTCTAATTTCAATACCTTCAGGAGCGATGAAGAAAAATTCGATGCCATTGTTCAATGTAGCTCTAATAGATTCAGGTATATTCTCGACGTCATAGGGTAAGTAAAACGCACTACGATATTCTTGATGATCAGAAAAACATGCTACGTGGGCACAAGTCAAGGCGAAATGCTGATTATGTTTGCAGCAAAACATAGTCAATGTGCCATTTGAAACATCATTTTGTTCAGACAAAGTACGATGCATTTGCTTAACTTTTATGTTCGATAAAAGTCGAAATTTTGGTTTCTCCTTTAAATCTTTGATACGAACATCAAAATATTTACAATCCTCTCTTCCAAATTCATTCTCAATACTTCTAATCGCATCTTCTTTTTTTACATCGCTCGCGGTCACATAAAAAGAAGGCTTAGGAAACCACTTAATTCCAAATTCTCCATTCAACCATGAAAAACTATAAATAAAGATGAAAAAAAAGATAGAAAAGTAGAACTTACACTACGTTTACATACATCATAGTTTTTTCCCACAGAAATTCGAAAATGAGAATGTTTTCAACTTTTCCTGCAACACAATAAAACAAACTAGGCAGTAATAAGTAAAAAACATTCATACTGTAAATGATCAAATAAACGCTCGCTGTCAAGTGAACGCTTTCCATTTAATAAACGACCACTATTACATTACATTTATGATAGTATAATAATTGTATTATATTATGATAACTGTAATGTAAACTATGTATTTTGTCTTGGTTTTCTTTTCATTTCTTGACCCTATGACGGTAAAAATAATAGAAACGCCCGTCTCTATAAAGCGCTTTGTATCAATATAACGCCCCCTGCTAGAACACTTAAAGTTTATCAAACATCCCGAGCGTTAATTAGATCATTTACGATGTTCAAAAACATTTAGCTAACATTTAATAGGTTTTGATTGCCAAAGTTAATGAATTCACCTATTCAGTTTTTTCCAAACATCTGGACGGATCTTGCAACTTTCATCAAGAAACTTCTTTTTGAAGTCAGCAATGTTTTCGTCTTCGTCTTCGCTTTCACTCGAATCGTCGGTCTCACACTCTTCTTCTATTTCCTTTTTTGTACCTGCAAAATAGTAATAACTGTAATATCATCTTTTAAAATAATAAAACAGAGAATTTGTCGTGGTGAAAAATTAGAATATCGCCATAAAGAGAGCAATTTCTATGGTGAATAGACTGAAACCAGATAAAAACCCACGAAACCCAAGATAAAACTACGAAAAAAACTACAGAATATCAAGAAAATAGATTTACCCTTAACAGATAGCAGACGTTTGGGTTAGTGCTCTTATTCTAAAATAGTCCTTTTCAGGACTCTAGATTTTTCTTGGTTTTCTGTTGGTTTTCTCTGATTGGTTTTTTTTCTCGGTTTTATCTTGGGTTTCATGGTTTTTATCTGGTTTCAGTCCATTCACCATGGCAATTGCTCTTATTTAGGTGATGTAATATCATCGATAACAAAAATTCTATATCTTATTTATTTTAATTATCAAGCCTCATATTTAGCTTAAAACTACGTCGTAATTATTTTTGAAAGCAAAATTTAGTCTTTAAATGAAATTAGCCAGGCATAGCCAAATATATGAATATGCTTCCCCCCCCCTCGCACATACGAATGACGCCAAAAATAGCATGTTTAACGTCAATCGAGGCCATTAAGCAATTGCACTTGACTAAGTTGCCAAACAGCTAGCCAAAAGAAATACAATTTAAGATGCTTATAATCGGCAAATGTTTTCAAACGTTTTAGGTCGAAGTTCCGAAGTTTTTTGATGTAGTAAATAAGAGGAAATATTTTTTCATATCAATTTCAAAAACATTTATTTCTAAGTCGATTCGTTCCATGAGTATAAGTAGCGACAGTCTTGAGGAGTTGAAAGGGGGTTGGAAAAGTAAAGTTTCTGTCATAAAGTAAGAATATTTTCTGAGACTAAAACTGCTCATTCATCTTAAACCTATTGTAAATGGTTTGCTTTAAATTAGTTTATCAGCGTAATATCCCCCGGTGCTTAAGTTTTTTTGCCTCTTGGGGAATATTTGGTTTTGATTTGATTGTTCGAATTTGAACAATACGCTTTTTTCCTCGTGTTATAAAACCGCTGGCAATTTGCCGAATTGTCGAAAACACTTGGATTTTAGATAAAAAATAGTTGTACCTAATGATGACCTAGAATGTTATCGAAAAAAAGTTATTTCTGCCAAATGTTTTTTTGAAAGTTTGCGAGGAGCGAATCAACGCTCTTAGTGCCAATACTTTTTGGATGTAAAAACACTACGGTAACGGTTTCCGACTTAAATGAGGGTTTGGGGGCATGCTCCTCTTAAAAATGTGTAACTACTTAAAGTTTCTCTAAAACCCTAAATCAACGGCAGATTTTGTATATGATCTAATAGCCAGAAGTTTTTAAGAACGTAGCTTACTCTTGATGTGTCTACAAGTGTATTAAAGTCAATTTTATCGATAACACGCTCGAAGGTTGCAGTTTCTTAAAGAATGAGTCTCACGGTAATGCTTTGAGCGCTTAGCATTCACAAGCAGCCTTTTTCGGGGCTCCCTAAAATGGCGGCATATTAGGTTGTCAATGCAGCGATATGTCTACTTTGACTGATAAATCCACGGCAAAGCGCGGTCAGCCAAGAAATGAAAAAGAAACAACAAGGATTTAATTAATTTCCTCAGGAATTGTTTTTCTCTCTGTATGCTTTTTCAAGGTGTCCTACCATTGCAATAACCAAAACTGGGCCTACACAGAAAGCTTCAAAAAAATTTCCATTATTAAATTTGGTCCATGCTTTGAATTAAGCTTGAAGCTTTTTAGTTTCATAGAAAAAATTGTATGTTTTTTCGTTTGTAAAGACTTGCCAATCATTACATTTATTGTCTGTTGTTCAATACATCACCTATATAACCAGCACTTACCAATTTCAGTCATAGCTTCTGGCAGCAGTTTGACTCCTTGGATTTTTGAATGTGTTTTTTCATCTGTTTCATCAGTTATTTGAAGATTTTTGATGTTTTGTGCATCAACTGGACTTGGAAATTTAAGAAGGTCGTCCCTTACGATGGCTACCTCGTACAACATCTCAAAAATATGTCCAAGTTCGCCATAATCTTGTCTAATCTCTTTCGAAAGTTGTTCGATTACACGTGGCGATAGCTTTAGGGCGTCCTCAATAGTTTCATCTTTAAGGATAAATTTCAATAATACTATCAATGTTTGTTTGAATAGCTACCTAGCTTGTGCCTTTTTTATTCTTTTACAATGATAATCGATCTGGCCACTGTTTTACCATTTTTCTAAGTTTTTTTTTGTCGCAAAACAGAAACAAAAAGCCACTAAAAATTAACGAGTGACGAGAAGTATTCTCTTAGCAACTTTCATATTATCACGAAAGGTTGAACGAGAATCATATGAAATCGAAAAGGATGTTAAGCTATAAGTATTTAGGTTTAGGCCGGTGGCGCTGCATTAATGTGAGTTTATTCTTATCATCATTCATTACATTTCGGCCTTCCCAGTAGACTTTCTGCCTTCTCAATTTTCAATCACTACTTTTATTATCTGTTAGTAAATACATTACCAGTTTTTTGTGCAATTTTTGGCAACAATGTGATTTCTTGCGCTGTTGAATGTGTCTTCAGCATGTCCAGTTTCCAGTTGCAAGGCTGTTCAGTTTTCACTTTTTCTGCAACGGATGTCGAGGATAATTCATAGATTGTAAAATAAAAAATGAGATTTATACTGTACTTTTAACACATGAAGTATATTCTCTAATAAATGATTAACATAAACATTAACAATAATTGCAAGTTACGAGCTGCAATATTGCTAGATTTACAATTGATCATTATGAATATAATCAACATTCTCTTTTGCTCCTTTATTGCATCTTTACATTGGCAGACATTAGTATGATAAAACTTACCTTGAGCTTTTTTACGACTTTCCCGACCTCTTTCATAAATTTCCTGAGCATTTTCATAACACATCTTGGCTTTTTTGTATTCTCTAGTTTTTTCAGAGTCCGGTTTCCGAAATTCTCCACGTAAAAGTTCGCCAGCAAATTTTCCAAGTCCCATTTTTTCTAAATGATTTGCAAGGTGTTGTCGACTAAACGTGTCACCGTCGTTTAGATATGTCAGTATTTTTGTAGCTTTTTCTACATAACCTGAATAAATCAAGGTGTCGGCCCTAACGATGTCCGCTTTGTCTGACATACCAGCAAGAAGTGCAAGTCTATTATAATTTGCTCCTATCTTTTTTGAAAGATGAAAGATTTCATAGTCCGAGAGTCTTGCACCATCCTCAGGATATTCTGAAACTACAAATTTCAACATAATATTATGGCAGAACAGTTTTATTTATATGGCTTTTTGGGTAGTTCATGTCTTTTGAGTGGCTGTTAACATTTATGATTGGCGCGGAAACATGTGTCAGTTTTTCGAATATCCGAAGAAATTTGATATTTCTTTAAAAACAAAAAGTTACAAAAAAGACAAAAACTGAATTAGTGATTAGGAAAATTATCTGAGCAGCTTGGGCAAGAAACAAATTAACGCATCTTTACATTGACAGACATTAATATGATAAAACTTATCCTGCGCTTTTTTACGAATTTCCTTAGCTTTTTCAAGACATTTATTTCAAGACACAAATCACACAAACAAACACTCTTGCTTTCCTCATAGTTTTCCACGGCAGTGGCCTTAATTTTCATTTTTTGTTTATGACTTGTTGTAGCTACTAAGTTTTATCTTCAGTTTTTTGAAATATTTTTCCTTCTTGGTATGAAAAATCTACAACTTTTACCTGGAAAGGTCCGTGCAGCATTGCTGACTGATATAAGCATATATGTGACTAAAGCTTATTATTGCTCATAGCCACTGGGCAAGAAACAAATTAATGCATCTTTACATTGGCAGACATTAATATGACAAACTTACCTTGAGCTTTTTTTCGACTTTCCCGACCTTTTTCATAAATTTCCTGAGCATTTTCATAACACTTTTTGGCTTTTTTGTATTCTCTAGTGTTTTTAGAATCCGGATTTCGAAATTCTCCACGTAAGAGTTCGCCAGCTAATTTTTCAAGTCCCATATTTTCTAAATGATTTGCAAGCTGTTGTCGACTAAGTGTGTCGCCATCGTTTATATATGTCAGTATTTTTTTAGCTTTTTCTACAGGACCTGAATATACTAAGTTGTTGTCCCTAACGATGTCCGCTTTGTCTGACATACCAGCAAGAAGTGCAAGTTTATTATAATTTCCTCCTATCTTTTTTGAAAGATGAAAGATTTCATTGTCCGAGAGTCTTGTATCATCCTGAAGATATTCTGCAACTACAAATTTCAACATAATATTATAGCAGAACAGTTTTATTTATATGGCTTTTTGGGTAGTTCATGTCTTTTGAGTGGCTGTTAACATTTATGATTGGCGCGGAGAAATGTGTCAGTTTTTCGAATATCCGAAGAAATTTGATATTTCTTTAAAAACAAAAAGTTACAAAAAAGACAAAAACTGAATTAGTGATTAGGAAAATTATCTGAGCAGCTTGGGCAAGAAACAAATTAACGCATCTTTACATTGACAGACATTAATATGATAAAACTTATCCTGAGCTTTTTTACGAATTTCCTGCGCTTTTTTACGAATTTCCTTAGCTTTTTCAAGACATTTATTTCAAGACACAAATCACACAAACAAACACTCTTGCTTTCCTTATAGTTTTCCACGGAGGGGCCTTAATTTTCGTCTTTTCGTAGTGCGTTTTTGTAGCTACTTAGTTTTATCTTCAGTTTTTTGAAATATTTTTCCTTCTTGGTATGAAAAATCTACAACTTTTACCTGGAAAGGTCCGTGCAGCATTGCTGACTGATATAAAGCATATATGTGACTAAAGCTTATTATTGCTCATAGTCACTGGGCAAGAAACAAATTAATGCATCTTTACATAGGCAGACATTAATATGATAAACTTACCCTGAGCTCGTTTACAATTTTCCCGAGCTTTTTTACGAATTTCCTGAGCTTTTTCAAGACACTTGTTGGCTTTTTTGTATTCTCCAGTTTTTGCATACACCATAACAAGATTCTCTAAAGTCTCAGCAACATCATCATGATATGGACCTAGCGTTTTTTCACAAGTTTCCACACGTTTTTCTAAAAACTCTTTAGCTTTTTCATACTCTCCAGTGGTATAATACAACAAACCAAGATTGTTTAAACAATCAGCAACATTAACATGATCTGGAACTCGCAATTTTTTAAAAAGTTTCAATGCTTTTTCAAAAAAATCTTTGGCTTTGTCGTATTCTCCAGTACTATAACATAACAAACCATAAATTTTCAAAGCTTTAGCAACATCTTCATGATCATGCCCTTTTGTCCGAATTTTCAGAGCTTTTTCGATAAATTCTTTAGCTTTTGCGTATTCTCCAGTTTTGATACATGTCCTAGCGAGATTTTCCAAACAACTGGCCGAATCAGGATGATCTTGACCTAGCGATTCTTCAAAACTTTTTTGGGCTTTTTCAAAGTTTATTCTAGCTTTGTCATATTCTTCAGTGCTATAACACAGCCACGCATAATTGTTTAAAGTATGAGCATTATTAACATGATCTGTCCCTGGAGATGTTTCTAGAATTTTCAGAACTTCTTCATAATTCTTTTTAGCCCCGTGATATTCTCCAGTTTTGGTATAAGTCATTGCAAGATACTTTAAGTTAGCAATATAACGATCTGAACTTTGGTTTGAATATTTAAGAGCATTTTTAAAGTTTTCTTTAGCTTTCTCGTAGTCTCTGAGGTTATAATTCACGTTACCATTCCTGGTAAAACGCTCAGCAGGATGAAAAACGTCTGAACTTCGCAAATCGCCTTCTAACTCCAACAGCTCGTCCATAAAATTAGCTTTATGTCATTTTCCAAAACTACAGTAAAAAGTAACAAGATTGTTTAATGATTTAGCAACATACTATCGATAATAGAGGTGAATCCAGGATTTTAAATTCAAAATTCCACAATAAGACTGTTTGTTAGAAATTTATATTACTATTAGTTGATATATGATACAAAAAGTACGGATGGTAAAATAAAGTTCAAACCTATAAATCGTTTACTTTCATTTAATGTACGGAGAGCTAATATAGTAAGTTTCGAAATACATAAAGCTACTGCAGAGTTTATCAAAAAACTAGACAGGTGGGACAACGTTGCTAAATTGATAAGCACGCAAAGTTTGCAAAAACTTATGGTGCAGATATAGATAGTTATGAGGAGTTCCAATGGTTTATTTGACAGTAAAATTGTAACAAATTTTAACCAAATTTAGATAGCAAAATTTTAATGCTTTGAAGTTATCTTAAAATAGATTGTACAAAACAATTGCTTCTCGGTGATAAAATTTTACCTCTAAAAATGATTAAATGTGCAACAATTTTACCGTAAAATAAAAAAGATTGAAACTCCAACTACCAAAATCATTTGGAAGCTTTATGCGTTGATCAGCTTAGCGACGTTTTCTCAACTGTCTTTTTTTTGATGCACCTTGTATAAAGGCAGCAGTTGTAAGAATTATAAATTGTAAGAAATAATTCAAAGTGTTAATTTTATCATATTATCTATGCCACCTCTGGCCAACAATTTACGTCAATGTTGATGACTCTATAAACACATGCAATCTTTGTTTATCTTTTATATTAACTGAGAATGACTCAAACTTTCATAATTTCGAAAAACTTACTATAGGCATCCGTGCAAGATATATCAATATATGATAAGTTGTTTTGTGCAACAAGATTTAATTATCAATAGATATTTGTGTAAAATAAAGATCCGATTTATGACTTTTCATTTTTTAATTGTAGTGATATTGTTATTTAACTTCAATTTTAACGTGGCGATGCATCTGTCTTAGCATTTATAGTGTTTGGTCCTTGTCGAGTGTTTCTATTGTGTTTTATTTAAAAGTTCATTACACAGCAAGAGTAAACGCTTCAATAATTTCGACGACATTTCTGACATTTTCACCAAAATGTTGAAAACCCAATAAATAGGCAAGCGGCTTAAGTGTTTTATAAATGTCAAGAAACATGTACATAGCAAAACTTTATGCTTCAGTATTTAGACACAATAATTTTACAGTAAGTTGATACAATATTAGCATGTCGGCGAAAGGCAGTTGCTAATTAGAATTGGATGCACTTGAAAGTTTTTTGATAGTTTGTAAATCAGTTTTTAGATAAATCGTGATCTTTAGTTTTAGAAGTGCAATTAATTCGTATCGAAACGAAAGACCGATAAGAATTTTGTCTTTTTATGCTACAACACTATCAGCAATTTATCATTTAAAACCACTTTCTTAAAATGTACATTAAACATAGCTATTTGAACGTTCAAAACTATTCCATGTTCATGTAAAATTTTTGGGTATGACAATATCAAAAACTCACAATATTTAATTTATAATATGATAGCTTTGCCAGAAAACAGCTGTGATTTTGAATTTGCGAACACAAAAATAGAGAACCACTGTCAGCGAGTATTTTTTTCCAATGGTTACTAAATCTATTAATTTTTAGTCACGTTGATAAACGTACAGCGCAAATTGTAATTACTTTAGTAGCGGTCAGCCATGATGGTAGCTAGTATTTTTATTTTTCTATAATTTCGTAGAAGCACTATTGCTAATGCGCATTTAATATACAATACGAGTGTTTTTTTTTGTTTTTTTTTAAATAAAATAGACATGTTTCGACATCTCATGATGCCATCTTCAGTATAAGTGGAATAATAAATAATAGAAAGTTTATATAAAAGCAATATGATACATAAATTACAACAATAATAAGGAAATAAGATAAATTAATGGGGAGCTTCCGAGCGTATATAGACTAAATATTGTATTGAATTTAAAACTTGAACATTGAGGTAAGGGTTAGTTTTGTTAATGTGGAGTGCTTCTTTGATTTTAAGGGGGAATGAAGCAAGAGGGTGAATAGTTAGTTTTACATGAGTAACATTTAAGAAGGTGTCCGGTAGATATGAGAGTTTTTGTCTGTTGTGGTGTGTTCCCTGATTCCGGTAGATAAATGGCGCGAAGTTTCGCCGTTTTGGGGAATTAGATCCCGCTCAATTGAATTCATATACCACCATTGATTTAATTGAATCAGGGATCGGGTCTTTGAATGAGAAAAGGTTTTTGATTTTGAATGATATGAAAATTAGTCGAATGTCAATATCTGTACAAAAGCGTTTCTTAATGTTTGTAAGTCTGCCCTGTGTGTGTCGTGAGTAATGTCCGATGTATGGTAGTTTGAAGTATAGAGTTGTTATTTTTGAATTTTCACTTGTGTTGATCGTGATCGTCGTGTTAGGAGTTTCGGTATCTAGTTTGAGGTTGTTGCGTTGTTTGCTGTCGAGATATCGTTTTACGGTTCTGTTAATAAAGTGTAGTGGGAAAGACTTTCTTAAAAGAGTGGACGTGATGTTTTTTATGTCTCGTTGAAAGCCATTGTTCGTATTGTTAAGTTGTATGCTCTGTCGATTGCTGCGCGTTTAAGTCCGGAAACTAAATAAGTTTATCAGAAGTCCTGTGTATGTTGGTTTGTGATATGTAGATGTTGTACAGCTGTCAGGGGAATTTGTTCGTAAAATGTCAAGAAATGGCAGTTGATCTTGCAGTTCAGTTTCAAATGAAAGTCTAATGTTTGCGTGCTGTGTGTTAATGTAATTATAAAACTTCATGGCCTCAGTTTCGTTAGTAAAAACACAAAAAATATCGTCAAAGAGTGGTTTAGTGTCGTTGTAATTGTTTAGCCAGTTTCGTTCATGTGAGCCCATGAAAATGTTAGCAAGTATGGATGCTCAGGTAGAACCCATCGCAACACCGTCTGTCTGGTCATAAAATTTTCCATTATATTAAAAATGCGTCTGTGCTGTTGCTATTAAAAACAGTTGTGTGACGTCTGTCCTGTTTATACTGAACATGGGGTTATGAGTGAATATTATGTCAATTGCTAGGTTGATGGTTTCAGTAAGTGGTATGTTAGTAAATAGGCTTTTAACGTCGTAGGAGATGAAGAATTTGTGACAAGAAGTTGATGAGTTGAAAGATGAGAAGTCGTCGAGGAAAGTGAAAAAATCTTTAGTGGAGTGGTCATCTGGTGTTAGTGGTGTTAGTTAAGAACTAAGATACTTTGCTAAATTATAATTGTATGAGTTAATTGATAAAACTATCGGTCGTAGTGGAGACGATTGTTCTGGTTCTCGCTTCTTGTGAAGTTTCGGTAAGCCATAGAAGCGTGAGGGTTGAGAACCTCTGGGGAAGATATCATTATAAACTTTGTTGTTAATCGAGTCTTTCGTTAGAAGCTTCCTTAACAGTCGTTTATTTATTTATTTATTTATTTACATTTATTTAAAATTAAAAAGTATACTACATCTAGGTATAAAATAAACAAACAAAAAAAAAACAAAGTATGAGCTATATAAAAATAAAAATATTAAGTCTATAAAGATTATGCATGCCATGGATATTTTCTTTTATCTTCAATGTTATTTCAAGCCTCTGCACCTCTATATGCAAAGCTACGTTTTAAGGCAATTGTTTTTGGTTTTGGCAAGTTGAGAACGTGATTGTTATTTCGTAATTCATACATTTCATTCGTACGTATTGAGAAAAACTGTCGAAGATAATCTGTAGAATTGCCTTTCATTATTTGTAACATTAAATTCTCTAATTGCGCTTTTCTCCTTTCCTCTAAGGTGTCCCAAGAGAGTTTAGCTCTTACAGAGTCTGAGGCAGATTTATAGCAATCACCTCTAATTATTCGGCCAGCTTTATTTTGAAGTTTTTGTAATTTAATCTGTAAACTATTGGAGCAGTTTTTCCATACCAAAGAACAGTAATCAAAATGTGGCAATACAAAGCATTATACATGACTTTAAGCGTGTCTTTATCAAGTATTTTTTTGATTTCCGCAGTACGCCAATTCCTTTGGCAGCATTTTTGGCCACATTTTCCATATGATTTTTCCAATCGTTGCAGTTTGGCTTCACATGATAGTGTGACGTCTTCTTTGAGTGGGGTGAACTTTGCTGTATTGTTAATGATTTTAAGGCAGGAGTTACGATACATTTGACGATTCATAATAACAACGCCGTTGCCTTTGTCCGGCTTGAGAATGATAATGTTTGGATTGTTGCGAATGTTTTTAAGGATGCGATGTTTTTTGAAGTCAGCTGGTGTCGGATGATAAGATGAGATATATGAGTGAGCGATGTGTACCAGCTCTGTTTTGTGCAAGATAGCTTTGCGATACGCAAACGATTATTACGCAGTGCAATCAAAAAGCGAACAAAGGAAGAACGGAAGTTATCGAATGAAGTAACGAAAATATCAGAAAGTTTAAAGAATAATCTATTCTCTCTCGACTGGAGTATTTTAAACAAAGCTCTGGAAAAAAACATAACCAAATACCTACAAAAGACAATTACCACACATCGGAGAAAACTAAGTAATCTCACGAGGGACAGAACTCTAACATTCATACACAACGAGACGATAACCAATCTATCATCACACCAATTAAAAGACGAAGAACTAGAACTACTGAAAAATGGCATTGGGTTCAGCATTAAACCACTACTGCTCAACTCAACCGACATTCTGGCAACATTCGAAAAAATTCCACAAAATTATAAAACACATCATTCGCAATCAAGAAGACGACACGCATCTCAAAACAGAGCTGGTACACATCGCTCACTCATATATCTCATCTTATCATCCGACACCAGCTGACTTCAAAAAACATCGCATCCTTAAAAACATTCGCAACAATCCAAACATTATCATTCTCAAACCGGACAAAGGCAACGGCGTTGTAATCATGGATCGTCAAATGTATCCGTAACTCCTACCTTAAAATAATTAACAGTACAGCAAAGTTCATCCCACTCAAAGAAAACCTCACACTATCACGTGAAGCCGAATTGCAATGACTGTTAAGGAAGCACTCCACATTAACAAAACTAAAGCCTGGGCCACACTATCGTCTATATTGACGAAAACGAAACGAAAATTCGTGCACGAAATGTATGCCAGACACGACGAAAAATTACAAGCATGTTTGCAAAGCCAAAACTTTTTTGGGCAATAAGCAAGCGGCATTTTTGACGGATTAAAAAAAATGGCGATCTCTAAAAGAAAAAGATACTGCTTTTAAAGTTGAAAACAAGCAACAGCAAACGTCGATACAGGATTCATCCAATTAATAAACGACGTGATCGTCTTGGACTATTTAACAACTTGATTAAAGAATTACGAGAGCCGAACAATGAAAATAGACACATAAAATACTTGCGAATGACGACGACAAATTTTGACTACATTTTGGATTTAATTAGACCTCACATCACTAAAGTTGGCACACATCTTAGAAAGTCTATTAGCCCTGATTTATCAAAACCTCTTGCCACTCCGCCATGTTTGAGTACAAAGTCTGATATTATTAACCAATAGTATGCGTTTTCGTTAAAGAAAAAGGTCAAAAGTTCAACTCATCTAATATGCACGAAAACGAAATTTTCGTCGAGTTTTCGTTCAAAATTTTCTTTGCGGCAGTTTTCGTTCTGATTTTCGTCGATATGAACGATAGTGTGGACTAGGCTTAACCCTGACCTCAATGTTCAAGTTTTAAATTCAATACAATATTTAGTTTATAATACGCTCGGACGCTCCCCATTAATTCATCTTATTTTCTTATTATTGTTGTAATTTATGTATCATATTACTTTTACTTGTATTATAAAAGTTGTCATTAATTGAGTGAGGAAGATTAGCATATGAATGCCACAGCATTTTGGTGAGAAACATTCCATCTCATATAGTGTTTTCTCCGAACTCATCGCAATCAGTCACTAATTTCGGTAATATCTCATGACCAGGGAAAACTCTTGAAATATGCTGATTAAAGTTAGTGTCCCAACAATAAATATATTAATCAGTAGATTGATTTTGATTTTGACAATAGTATATACTTAATTTAATACTATACAATACAATACAATAATATATCTTACCTTATATCAAAAAGAAGGTTGCTCAGGATGCAATATATCTCTAGAGCTTGGTTCGATCACCTTGGTGACATAAAGAGAGAACAAAGAGTTACTAAATTTACCAATTATTAGCCATTGGGCAATATTCCTCTTCAACCTCATGGGAGATTGATCTTTAAGTCTCCGTCGGCCATGATGTTTTGAAAGTTGTACAATAGTAAATATTGGACACATCGAATTCTCAATGCTTATCAGTTCACTGAATTCAATCAACAAATGACGTCAAAATAAAAAGTTTTGAAAAGCTGCACCATGAATAAGGAAACTCAAGAAAATATATATTTCAGTATAAATTACTAAAATGCCGCCAATGATAATATCTCTCACTCATAACAATTTTGTGTATAACGTTAATGTATAAAGAACACATACATTAAAAGCTCTCACCTTTTTAATGAACTGAAGTTACTTCTTTTCAGCAAACGCAGTAAACTTGTTCGCCTTTTTATGATTACCAACAATTATATTATGTCCCGATTTTTCTTAAAATATAAATATTTTATAAATTGAGAACGATCCTAAATAAATGCTACGATTGCTAAAAGTTTCACATTTAATATGAAATAGCTCAACAGCAATTCACATAAACGTACATATTGTACTTTGTAAAAGCGTCGATGTTTGTTTGTTTTATACGCCTTTAAATGATTTTAACTTTAAAAGGTTTTCAAACCTAACATTCGTGAGAAATTGTCGTCATACTATGCTTTGAGTTCAATTAGTGGCAAGTCAAACTGTGCAACGGAATTCAAATATATTTAAGAATAGATTGTGATGTAAAGCAAAGATACGCTTCATGATTTTTTGTGTCGTCATTTATAATATTTTTTAACTCCTTAGTGCAAACACATAATGTTTATGAGGACTTCAATTTTGCGATGCATTTATCATGGCATGATGGTGTATAACAAGCTATTGCTATGTTTATGTACGACAATGATAACTTTGGCTATCGTAAAACTGTGTGTGTAAGCAAATTCCAGTCTTTAAATGTGCGCGCATGACAAGCTATAGTGTTTGCATGTGACGTCGTCTTTTCGCTATATGAGATTTCCCCCCAACATGGCGACTAAAGGAAACACTCTATGTATGATCTTACGAGTTCTCACCACCATACATGCGCTGTATTGCATAATCATGACGTATCTCTGATTAATTATTACTGTTGGCTGCGCCATCATTAATATGGAAACTCGAGTGAATATATACAGGTGATTCAGGTTTAGCGTTGGACAGAAATGTTTCTCACGTTCGTTTTCGCCGCTGAAAATTGACGTTTCCATGCTCATAAAGATACGTTGCTGACGTTTCATATCTTACATATAAATTTCACGATTTATTATTCAAATGTGGTAAGATCCCGACAGCTGAGCCGAACCTAGGTTTTTGTGACCACGTTAAAAATTGTTCTTTAATAGGTTGTCAATACAAACCTTTAAGTTTTAAGATAAAATTCAAACATCTCATTATAAATCACTACATGTAGATCTTAGAGAATCATAACTTGTTTTTAGAAATTATATATGTATATATATAGAGTTGAACACTATAACGTTTTTATCGCATCTATAAACATAAGTTAAGCGTTCATTATATTTGAAAGAATGTATCCATATAGCTAAGTATGCTTGGATAACAGTGATGGATAACCATGCCACTGCCCTCAATAAGGAAACCCAAGCAAATACATCTCAGACAAAATGGTGCTAATGATAATTTCTTTAGTGATAACAATTTGTTTAAAAATATTCACATACCAAGATATTCTTCACAAGCACTCACCTTGCTCGTCTTTCGAGCTTCTTTTGAAAATTATCAAAAATTCATTATTGTATATATACATGTATAAGTTTCTGGTTTCTTTAAATATAAATATTTTAAAATTTAAGAACCGAACAAAGCGCTGCGTTAAATAAACATTTTGTTTCATACTCATGTTTAAATAGATTGACAGGCATTCGCTTTAACAAACACGTTATACCTTTTAACCAAGTCGACGTCGATGTTTCTTTTATCTTAAACAACTTTAACTTTAAGATTTTGACACTTAAATTTTGTGCAGGGTAATCATTATACCCATTCTGTGTGTTGATAATTGTAGCAAGTCAAACTGTGCAACGGAATTTAAATCATCTCAAGAATAGATTGTGATGTTAAGCAAAGATACGCATTATGATTTTTGTGTGTTGTTATTGGTAATATTTTTCAGCTCTTAAGTAAAAATCATTTAAGATAACTTTGATTTTGCAATGCAGTGTAGTCATAGTATGCTTGTTATAAGATTCTTTAAGCGTTTTGGATTTTGTCAAAAGCTTGATTCTTTGAAAGTTAATTGCACAGCAAGAGTAATTGCCATGCGATAACTTATGCGATAAACTGACATTTTGGCCAAAATGTTCGGAACAGCAAATAGACCATTTGTTTAATGGTGTAATTATATCTTAAATAAAATACACAAAGTGAGACTTTGTAGAGTTTTTCTTACACTATGTTGATGTGAGAATAATACAGTTAATTGATACAATATCACCGTCAGCTTTAAAGTATTTCTAAAATAGTTGCAAATAATGGTTACAGACAAAAAATATTTTAGTGATCTAGATTATTCAATAACATATTTAATAGATTAATAAGGCAAGCCGGGGAAATATGTGATTAATAAGAACAGACATTTATTTAATTAATCGATTAATTTCGCAGACATTTATACCATCACTCACTGGAAGAAACCAATGCAATCCAGATGAGCGAGCACTCCTTTCACTTCCTATACGATTTGGTAATCTAAATATTATCAACCTAGTTAAAAGTGCAAATGAAGAATATCTTGCTTCCAAAAAGATCAGCCAATGCTTGAAAGACATGATTGTTCAACAGAAAGAGATACTTCATAAACCTCAGTTACAGTCAATCAAAATGACTTTACGAGAGCAAAAGAAGAAGAAAGTGGATGATATGATCCAGGAAATAAGAGATAGTTCTACGCCAACAATGCAAAGGAAGCTAGATATACTGAGCGAAAAGGATCGTCATCATGGTTAAGTGTACTTCCATTACAAGATCAAGGCTTTAATTTGAACAAAGGGAATTTCGAGATGCATTAAGTTTACGTTATGGATGGCAATTGAAAAATACCCCTCTGCACTGCATTTGTGGAAAGGCTTTTGCAGCCGATCACGCGATGATATGTCCTCATGGTGGTTTACCAATAGTGAGACATAATGAAGTTCGAGATATAACAGCACAGTGGATGGCAGAAGTTTGCTCGACAGTTGTGAAAGAGCCACAATTACAACCTCTTTCTGGGAAGTGATATTACCTCGTACAGCCAATAGAAAGAAGAAGCGAGACTAGATATTCGTGCTAAAGGTTTTTGGTCTAGACAGCAAGATGCATTTTTTGATGTAAGGGTATTTCACCCAAACGCGTCGAGCTACCAAAACACCAATCTACCTGCACTCTATCGTCAGCATGAGATGGCTAAGAAAAGGGAATATGGTGATCGAGTAAGAGAGATTGAATATGCTGCTTTTACACCACTGGTCTTTTCAACATCAGGTGGTATGGGGAAAGAGACTTTAATTGCTTATAAACGGCTAGCTGATCTGCTGGCACAAAAGAGAAAGCTGCAATATGGCATCACGCTAGCGTGGATGCGTTGTAAACTGTCTTTCGCACTGATTAGGTCAGCAATTACTGCGATACGAGGAAGTCAATCTGCCTCAACTCGCGAACATTCTTTAAATATTGACCTAGGTTATTGGGAAAGTTGTCTTTACATTTGACTGTCCCTTTATCATGGATATTTTTAAACACTGATTTTAGTCATATGTGATTCAGTTTTTTAACATTTATATTTGTAATAGATAATAATGATCATAATAAAATACGTTTTCAAAAAATATATAAAAAAAAAAAATAATAATAAGAACACAGAACTAATGACGTCAAAATAAGAGGTTTTGAAAAGCTGCGCCATCAATAAGGAAACTCAAGAAAATATATATTTCAGTATAAGTTACTAAAATGCTGCCAATGATAATGTCTCTCACTCATAAGAATTTTGTGTATAACGTTAATGTATAAAGAACACATACATTAAAAGCTCTCACCTTTTTAATGAACAGCAGTTACTTCATTTCAGCAAACGCAGTAAGCTTGTTCGCCTTTTAATGATCACCAACAATTATATTATGTCCCGATTTTTCTTAAGATATAAATATTTTATAAATTGAGAACGATCCTAAATAAATGCTACGATTGCTAAAAGTTTCACATTTAATATGAAATAGTTCAACAGCAATTCACATAAACCTACATATTGTACTTTGTAAAAGCGTCGATGTTTGTTTTTGTCTTACATACCTTTAACTTTAGATGATTTTAACGGCTTTAACAGGTTTTCAAATTTAACATTCGTTAGAGATAATCATCATACGCTCCTTTCAGTTGGTATGTGGCAAGTCAAACTGCAAAGGAATTTAAATAATTTTAAGAATAGATTGTGATGTAAAGCAAAGATACGCTTCATGATTTCTTGTGTTGTCATTTAAAATATTTTTTAACTCCTTAGTGCAAACACTTAATGTTTATGCGAACTTCAACTTCGCGATGCATTTATCATGGCATGATGGTGTATAACAAGCTATTGCTATGTTTAGATACAACATTGATAACTTTGGCTATCGTAAAACTGTGTGTGTAAGCAAATTCCAGTCTTTAAATGTGCGCGCATGACAAGCTATAGTGTTTGCATGTGACGTCGTCTTTTCACTATATGAGATTTTCCCCCTACATGGCGACTGAAGAAAACACTCTATGTATTATCTTACGAGTTGCTTACTAAATCATATCGATTTTTAGCCACTTGGCTAGTTTCCTCGCCCAGTACAAAGCAAATTCAGAATTGCGGAAGTTTGAAAAGCTTCAAACCAAACAAAGGAAAGCAGAACTAGATGTTATGTTTCACAAAGCAAATTGTTGAGCAACAGCCTTCAATATTTTTTTGCCATCGTAAATATTTGACCATCAATCCTTATTGCTAATTAGTTCGCTGAATTAAATCAATAACTAACGTCTAGTTGAAAGATTTTGGAAAGGTGTGCTATCAAGAAACCAAAGAAATATATTTCAGACAAAATACTGCGAACGGTCATAATTCTTTCAGTCATAGCTATTTGGTGTTGAACGTTATGTATAAAATAAACATGCATTGAAAACTCTCACCTTTTTTGATGATTATCTTACACACCTTTTACTGTAGATGAATTAAAATTAAGGTTTTTCGACTCATCATTTGCATCCTTTGAGTTATACGTGGCAACTCAAACTGTGCGACCGAATTTAAATCATCTTAATTAAGAATAGATTGTGATGTAAAGTTAAGATATGTGTTATGATTTTTAGGGCAAGATGGTATCATTTATAATTTTTTAATCTTTAGTCAAAGAACTTGTATTTATGAGAACTTTTATTTTGCGCTGTATTTATCCTAGTTTGCTTCAGTAAGGATTCTTTAAGTAATTTGTTCTTTATACTCGTTTGTGTTATTTAAAAATCGATTGTAAGCAATTGACAGTTAACGCTCCAATAATTTTGACAATAATACTAACATTTTAACCAAAATGTTGCAAACGGCAAATACATAAAGTCCTGGACTGTTTAATAAATCTCAAAAAATATATACAAAGCAAAGCTTCATGTTTTCAATCATTTCAACATGAGAATTGTTAAGTAAATTGATACAATATTGGCACATATCAGCGTGAGACAAGCATTATTTTTACAGATACAAATATTATTGAAGCAGTTGCAAATGTTTAGGAAGACAGAAAATATTTCACAAAACATGGGATTTGAAAAACAGATCATTCAAAAACACATTTTGATGGGTTTATAAGGGAAGCGGGAATATAAGAAAGTCTACTATATAATAAGGTATTTTTATAAGCAAGTTGATATCATAGAGGAAAGTCACCAATGAAGTCTAACTACCTATTTCTACCAAAGGTTTGGGCAAATCTTGCGCGCTAATGACTTTAGTGACGTTTTCCGAACTGTTCAGTTTTTTTTATACACTATGACTTTGTATACATGGACCAAAGATTTCAATGTTGGAACTTTTCTCTCTATTATACTCAAATCTTCTTATCCATAACTGCGATGCATGCTGATGTCAAACAAATAACGTATTGGTGTCATATCATATCTTATACAGTATCATATCATGAGCAAAATTATTATTTTATTAATTGAATAAAATGACAATGCAGTTGTAGATAGTTATGCATGAGATGGCACAAGGATATTTTGGAGAGATTCAGGCATTTATTAGAGTGATACCATTAGCATGCCAAGTTATCACTACATACAGCTACAAATCACATATGGTCCTAAGTTGTGATGATATTTTGCTTGTTCTGTTTATTAAGCTTTCTGGCGTTATTGCATCTTGTAGGATCTCCACTTTTTGTAAAATAGAAGCATCTTGACTATTATCATCTTCATTTCCTTCACTAGGTCTAATCATATATATATATATATATATACACAAAGTGTATTACAATGTGCCTTCCCGGCTATCACCATAATAATAATAATAATGGACTCGGGTTATCGAAAGTAATTCAGAGCTCAAATATGTATTTTTGTTGTTGCGAGATTACATAACCGTGATTGATAGGAAGTCCTTGAACCAATTAAAATCGTTCTTGGATCGTTTGAAGCGTCAGTGTCACTAATGACATATATAATAAACAAGCATAATTTACTTACATATTATATTGTCATATGCGAGATTGCAGTGCCGTGAATTTCGTTGTGCTGTTTGACAACCATTATAATACGCAAACATACACAATAACACTGCTTTTGAGTAGCCCGAGTGAACGCCTGAAAAGCGTATTGTTGTATGATTTATAATCTGCAGGCAAACACATGTAAGGTCCAGGATTATAATGATGTTGCTTCTTGTGCTTTTTAATTTCACATAGCTACTTTTTTTTCCTGTCTAGAAAAAATTTCTCAGACTTTTTGTCTCATTAGGTCATTTGACCATGAGTGAGCAAATGTAGCTACATTGGGATGAATATTCCTTTGATTTGTGACGTTTATATTCAAAATATAGATTAGCTTCACAAAACCTGAAAGTGTGCATATATATTTTGAAGTTTGTTCTTCCTTTCAATTTTCCTTTTTAATTCAATTAAGTTTCTCTTTTTGAGAATTCTAACTTTTTTTTGCTTTCAAACAAATTTTCTTCCACCAAATTCTAAATTTTTGCTATTTTATACAGCCTTGAAACTAGGCACGGTATTTTCAGACAACTTATATTATAAACAATAATTGTGCCTGACTGATTTCTTTTTCAAAGCAACTCTCTGATGGAATTAAGCAATTTACGTTCAAAAGAAATTAAACGTTCACAGCTGAATATATGAAAGAACACCCCCCGCCTTCACTGCGCGTTTCTAGGCACTGGCATCAGTCGCATCACCTTTTATCTTCCACTGAATCCTGACATGGATTTTGCGTGTAAAGTGTTCAAGTCTCAGTAATTGAAAGTAGTTCTAGTGGACTGTTTTTTCAGCATATACTTACCTTTAAATCCTAAGATTTTTGGTTTTGTAAGTAATTTACTTTATAACATTGCTTTTGGTATGGACCTATAAATTTCATTGTAAAACGACCAATCGGCAAAACTATCACTCATTAAAATATTTGGACAGTTGCATACAATCTTTACATAAACTTTATTTTACCCTGGTTTTATGAAGTTTGACATAAATTACATTACATTGGTGCCAATTACATCTATGCAATTAAATGCCTGTTTTTTCTGTTAAATAGAGGTACAAAAACGTTTTAAAATATGTTCTTATTAACTTGACATGTGTCTAGATATTACATGAAATCCCATTCTTAAGTTCAAATCAACTACCTGATTGCAGTATTTCAACCATAGAGATTATTTACCTTTATTTGATTGTTTTCTCTACTAATAAGGACTTATCAAAATACGACACAGCTCGATTTATCTTTACACGTGCATAATTTACTATAAATTGGAGTTTAAAAAAGTGTAAAGTAGTTGAGCAACTCATTGTTGCAAATTTTTATGGTATAAAGCACAAATAACTAAAGCTGTATGTTATACGGGAATTGTAAGGTGATTCTATCCGTCTATCGCAATCTTCCTCGTAATAAGTCGTCGGCCAATCTTCCAAAGCCAATTTTCTCTAAATTATCAGCTAGCTCCATCCGACTAAAGTTCAACCTGTTGTTTATTCTTTTCAGTACTTCTGCAGCTTTTCTTTCTGGACTAGGAAATTGAAAATTGTTGTTCATTATGTTGGTAACCTCGTCTGACAACCCAGCACGAAGTCCAAGTCTGTAATAATCTCCCCCTAGCTTTTGTGAAAGTCCATCGATTTCAATGGGTGAGAGCCTCGTACCATCCTCACCTGGATCATCTGTATAACGATAATAACAATTTTTATTGAAATAGCTAAAGTTTTTCTGATTGTTTCCATAATATTCCAATGTAAATCGCCTTTTCTTGTTTTACGCGACTGTTTAATCTTCGGTTTCTGGAAATATTTCTCTTTCTTGGTATGAAAAATCTATAACTATTCACAGCGAATGATCTACGCTTAGCTGACAGATATATAAAACATTAAATATGTGACTGCATGAAGCTTATTATTGTCCACATCGACAAGAAATAATGAATGTTTACACGTTGGTAGACTTGCTGCCTCCAAATCATTAATTTTATTGTTTGTTGGTCAATATACATCATACACGTATTTTAATGGCTCTTACCAATTCTTTGAGCAGTTTGTTGCCACATTGTAATTTCTTGCGTTTTCGAATCTGGCTTTTCCCCGTTGTTAAATTTCTAATTTCCTGCAATGGATGTTGTGAATATTTTTCTGAATGTGGAAAAGAAAAATAATTCAAATGATATTCTGAATGCAGGAATTAAGTTCTAAGTAATAAATTTTAATTTGCAGAGTTACCCGCTGCATCATAGCCACTGCAATTAATTGACCTATTTGAATATAGCTAATGAACAAGTTATTTTTTTGTCAGATATTTATGTCTTTTAGATCAATCAAATTTATTTTACATATGTTTACATTGTATAACGAAATAAGACACGATTGAATCATATTAACACATCTATACAAAACACACTGAAGCGTTCAATATAGTTGAAAGCAACGTATACACCTATAGCTTGGTATGCTAGCTGGACTTATCACAACGATAGAGAACCCCACTCGTGCAGTGACATATTTTTGCACACTGCTTACTTGCTTACTAAATCATATCAATTTTTAGCCACTTGGCTAATTTCCTCGCCCAGTACAAAGCAAATTCAGAATTGCGGAAGTTTGAAAAGATTCAAACCAAACAAAAAGGAAAGCAGAACTAGATGTTATGTTTGACAAAGCAAATTGTTGAGCAACAGCCTTCAATATTTTTTTTTGCCATCGTAAATATTTGACCATTAATCCTTATTGCTTATTAGTTCGCTGAATTAAATCAATAACTAACGTATAGTTGTAAGATTTTGGAAAGGTGTGCTATCAAGAAACCAAACAAAATATATTTCAGACAAAATACTGCGAACGGTCATAATTCTTTCAGTCATAGCTATTTGGTGTTGAACGTTATGTATAAAATACACATGCATTGAAAACTCTCACCTTTTTTTATGATTATCTTACACACCTTTTACTGTAGATAACTTAAAATTAAGGTTTTTGGACTCATCATTTGCATCCTTTGAGTTATACGTGGCAACTCAAACTGTGCGACCGAATTCAAATCATCTTAATTAAGAATAGATTGTGATGTAAAGATAAGATGTGTGTTATAATTTTTACGGCAAGATTGTATCATTTATAATTTTTTTATCTTTAGTCAAAAAACTTGTATTTTTGAGAACTTTTATTTTGCGCTGTATTTATCCTAGTTTGCTTCTGTAAGGATTCTTTAAGTCAATTGGCCTTTATACTCGTTTGTATTATTTAAAAATCGATTGTAAGCAATTGACAGTAAACGCTCCAATAATTTTGATAATAATACTGACATTTTAACCAAAATGTCACAAACGGCGAATACATGAGCTATTTGACTGTTTTATAAATCTCAAAAAATATATACAACGCAAAGCTTTATGTTTTAAATTATTTCAACATGAGAATTGTTAAATAAATTCATACAATATTGGCACATATCAGCGTGAGACAAGCATTATTTTTACAGATACAAATATTATTGAAGCAGTTGCAAATGTTTAGGCAGACAGAAAATATTTCACAAAACATGTGATTTAGATCATTCAAAAACACATTTTGATGGGTTTATAAGGAAAGCGGGAATATAAGTAAGTCTACTATATAATAAGGTATTTTTATAAGCAAGTTGATATCATGGAGGAAAGTCACCAATGAAGTCTAACTATCTATTTCTACCAAAGGTTTGTGCAAATCTTGCGCGCTAATGACTTTAGTGACGTTTTTTGAACTGTTCAGTTTTTTTTTATACACTATGACTTTGTATATATGAACCACAGATCTAATAATACACTAGATAGTGCAACTGACATAAAAGTTGAAGCCGGGCAAATTTACTTCCGGAGCCCCAAAGTAGTGAGAACCAATATGGCGTTGTATTAGAAAATATCTGCTCCAAGTTAATTTCTCGCAATTATTAGCAAATCGCGGTGGTTGCATCAACTTTTTTGCACTATTTATGAAATAAATCATTGTGACTATAGTTTGTAAGAAAAAAATTGCAGAATACGCCAATACATCGCCGTAAAATTGATTTCAAGTGTAGCTCGATTTGAAAGCATCAGCAGCGACTAAGGCTTAAGTACTGGAATTTACACATCTAAATATCGTATCACAGGACAATCTGCGATAGTGTGGCTTAGTTCATGTGGCAAATACAGCGATATCATACTCGATCTATGGATGTATTGTAATAGAACAGGCATATTACAAAAATCAGTCAGAAATTGACACATGTTACAAGCACAAATTAAATATTTTGCTCAGAATAAATAATTTAGGTTTGATATTTTCAATAACAAGAATGTGTAGAAAATTTTATATGCATATACATGCCTGAATGGTAAAAAGACAAAAAATGTTGAAAACAGTAGCATAACATCACCATAACAGTACATTAAGCACTGTGGGCAGTGGCCATATAACCCACTGGTTTAGACTATGACAATACATTGTTTATATATATGTTTAAAACACAGTCAATACTACAAGTCTGGTGACTCTTCTTGCTTTAACAAGTAAATATTTTCCCCGTGTTGGACAGAGTGTATTGTATCAACCTGTGGTATCAACAGTTTCACAAGTGACCTGCTATTTTATACTTCACAAAAATTTGGTGTAACAGAGGTAGACTCATAATATAAAACAAATTCCAAAGAAGCAAGACAGACTCTATGACATAGACAAACAAGACAAGCAAGACATAGACAAGACATAGACATAGACTCTTCGAGGTAGACTCTTCACATTCTTTCTGTAAATAATTTCTGAACGTATTAATTACTCACATCTTGACATAGCTATATTCGTTTGCCGACCAGAAACACCAGAAAAATGCATTTCTGGTACAATAATCCAGTGCAATATTTAATTATGTACAGTGAACAATATACTTTATATAAATCGTGAAAAATCTTTCAAACTGTTATCTCCAACTCGTTTTACTTAACAATAAATATCGGAAGATAATTCTACGACGTTCGATTGAACATTTTGTGGCAGATTGTGCTGTGATACGATATTTAGATGTGCAAGTTCCAGTATCTTAAGCCTTCGTCGCTGTTGATGCTTTCAAATCGAGCTACACTTGAAATCAATTTTACGGCGATGTATTGGCGTATTCTGCTATCTTTTTCTTGAAAAACTATGGTCACATTGATTTTTTTCATTAATAGAGTAAACCAGTTTATGTAACCGTCGTGACTTGCAAGTAATTGCAAGATATCGGCTTTGACCAGATATTTTCTAATACAACGCCATATTGATTCTCACTACTTTGGGGCTCCGGAAGTAAATTTGCCCGGCTTCAACTACACTTATGATGTGTAAGCCGTTGCACTATCTAATGTATTATTAGATCTGTGATATGAACCAAAGATTTCAATGTTGAATCTTTTCTCTGTAATATACTCAAATCTTCTTACCCACAACTGTGATGCATGCTGATGTCAAACAAGTAACGTATGAGTGTCATATCATATCTTATACAGTATCATATCATGAACAAACTCTTACCTTTGCAAGGAACGACTTGTTTTCAGCTAGTATAAAGTGTCTTGTTCGTCTTTCAAGTCTCTTTTGAAGATGGTCAATAAGTATATTTTCTGGTTTTCTTAAATTATAAATATTATAAAATTTAACGTACGACACTAAATAAATAATATATTAGCATTGCTAAATTTTTCATTTTCATAATGAAATAACTTGACAACCATTCGTTTTAACTGACACGTTATACCTTTTTAGCACGTAGATGTTTCTTGTTTATCTTACGCCTCTTTTACTGTTGACAACTTCACCTTGAAGGTTATCAGACTTAAAATTTGTGCAAGGTCATCATATATGTGATAAATATAAATCGCAAAACTGTGCATCGGAATTCAAAACATCTTAAGAATAGATTGTGATGTAAAGTACGCATACGCTTTATGATTTTTTGTGTTGTTATTTGTAATATTTTTCAACTCTTGAGATGAAAATTATTTATAATAACCTTAACATTACAATGCATTTATCATAGTATGCTTGCTATAGGATTTTTTAAGTGTTCGGTGTTTTGTCAAGTGCTCAATTCTTTGAAAGTCGACTGCACAGCAAGAGTAAACGCTCCTATAATTTATGCGATAATGCTGGCACTTTGGCCAAAATGTTGAAAACAGCAAATAAACCAACTGTTTTACTATTTTGTAAATCACTTAGAAATATATGCAAAGCAAGACTCTGAGTTTTTCATTCACTGTATCGATGTGAGAATTATACAGTAAATTGATACAATATCTCATAAACAAGCATTATTAAAATAGTTGCAAATGATGGTTATGCAAAGAGCATTGATTTAGATTGTTCAATAACACATTTGCTATTTAAGAAATAGAAAACATTTTTCCGAGTTTCTATAGAGTTAGAGAAACACGCGGGAAAGTTTGGGAGAAACGAGAAATTACATGGCAAGCACGAGCACGAAGTGCGAGTGTTTCAAAGTAATTTCGAGTTTCTCCTAAACTTTCACTAGTGGAATTGTTAATTTCTTTTCGTACATCCTGGACTTCCAAACCGATAATCTGGCCACGATTATAACTGATCGTTTCACCACTAGAATTTTCTACTCCAAAGTATACTATTCCATTAACTCCTCCGTTTAAAACTCCACAAATAAACAATCTTGCTTTTTCCATTGTCTTCCGTGGTAGTTTGTTTGTATTTTCTTTCTTAAGTGATACATAGTCAATAATAATCTTGTTTTTAGTTTCTGCTCGTGTGCCATTTTCTTTGTATGGAAAATTCTCTCATTTAACTTTGAATGGTCCGGGCTTATCTGAACGATACAGAAGAAACAAAATTTAAACAAATATAGAATGATGATGATTTTCTTTCAATTGTAGTTATCGTTGCGTTTATTTTATGTTACCCAACGTATAAAAATAAACTTTCATAAGCAATAAAATTACAAATTATTCTTGGAAACGTACTTGAAATTTTGCTTTTGCTCTTGCTGCCACCAGCTTATGCAAAAGAAGAAATGACTGTTAAAACTGAAGCGGGGAGATACTTAGTAAATGCTGGAAAAGAGTTTTGAAAGAGGAAAAGCAAATGGTGAAGATTTATCACAAGAAAATGCAGAATGAACACTGTTTACCAAACAGGGAAAATCATTGGTTAATGAAAGCAAGTAATGAATCAATAATGGTGTGGAGAAGAGGATGGAATCAAAGTAGAAAAATAGCAATGAAAGCAAGCAAAAACAGAATGACGAATGCTTAAAAGAAAAGAATATTATATTGCATGTGTTGTTAAGAGCATTGGCAGCACAAGAAGATCAAAAACAACGTAGAGAGATCAAGATTCCAAAATGAACAAAGTAAAATACTTTGGGATTTCGAGTTTAACTTGCATAATACATGTTAACCAGAAATGGTTTTGGAGAGTACCTTAATTAAGAAAAGGATTTTGCATGTTCTCTTGAAAGAATTCAACATATTTTTGAGCAATGAAATTTCGAAATTTTGACGTGACATCATTAGAGTTAGACAGAATTATGAAAAAGAGCTTCAAATGAGGATAATTTTTATTATGAATCAAGAGTAGTCAAGAGGAAGTTTTGATAATTTGTTCAATAAAATTGGATAATGAAGTATTTACATTAAATGGAAAGTTGGTCTTGAACTGAGTCAAAAAAAGAAGAAGGGAGTTCCAGAACCATGATGAAAACGAAAGATAAAACAGGCAGGGAAGCTGCTTAGAGAGAGTATTAATACACTTGTAAAATATAAAGTGAAAGTAAAAGGAATAAAAATTATTTTGAATTGCCGAATAAATATAATATTAAAATGAAAAGGTTTAAATTTGGTACTGGAAGAACTAAAACAAAGGCTGCAAGCTAAAATCACAAAAAGTAGGAGATATAAACAAATAATGAACCAATGTAAGATCAACCGATTGTTCTTACACGATCAAAAAGACTTTATCAACTGTTTTATGGACAGGATAAGAAAAAGAAACACCTGATGCTGAAGAAATTGAAATGTTTTGAGTAACATCTCGGGTAAAACAAAACGACATCAAGAAAATGCAGAAAAGATTTAAGATCTGCGAAGAAAGCAGTAAAACAAAGTGACGTAAGGATTACAAAAAAAAATAAAAATGGTAAAAATCAGACTAAAAGATTGAAAACTGGAAATGCCCAGGACATGATGGAGTTTATTGGTACTGGTTAAAAAATTTTTCAGTGATGCATGAGAGAATTAATGGCCGCACAGATGAATGATAAAGTTATCAATGAAGCAGAAATATCGCGCTGGATGACCACTAGTAAAACAGACGGAAGTTGATGACGTGAGCAATAACTAACTGTGTTTATAACGTCCTTGAAATAAGTTGTAAGTTACCAGTGGCAAAAAAGGGATCTAGGTGAAAGACTCGACAAACCAAGCATCAAAATTTGATAGATAAGATGATCTTGAATGGTTCTAAAGAGACATACCATAATATGAATATGGTGGGGGACGTTTATATCAAGGTATGTTGTGTGTTGCCATCATATATGCCTTACTGTAGAAAGCCTCAAGCTTGTGCAGGTGACTGATACTGTTGTAAATTTATTTAAGGAATCAAAAAAGAGCTGGAAAAAATAGTTAAAATCATGTGGAGAATTCTTTGCAAAATTTAATGTTATAGGAGAGGCATATTTCAGGGAGATAGTTTGTCACCATCTGTGTGATGCTGTTCGACATCAGTATGATTTCTCTTGCTCAGATTCTACGGAAGGATGAAAAAACACATGACAGTAATTAAAAAATGACATTAAACAAGGAACTGTATCCAAAAAGTGATGTTGATTGTTTGTATATGTGTAGAAAGAAAGGAAGAAGAAGACTGATAGGACTTGTGATCAGCGTTGTAAATGAGAAAAATAGTCTAGGATGGTATGTAAAACATCAAAGTGATCCTTTGATTGCTGCGTTTAAAAAAATAAGTATCATAGCAAGCATGCGATGTACCCACAAGAATTTAAGGGAAATAATGGACAACAAAGGCTAAATAACTGGAAAGAAGAAACAAATGCATGGTCAGTAAATGAGAGAGATAAATGAAACAAATACACTAAACAGCTGGAAATGTCTTAGCATAGGTGATTTAATAGGGTGTACTTGAGCATTGATCTGTAAGGCTCTGGAGATGGCTTTGAGAACTAATTACATTCATTGTTGAATCACCTAGATCTAGATGAATGTAGTAAATTAGCGCAAAGGCAATATAAAAGGAAGTTCACTAACTACACCAATTGATCATGTCAACAAAGAGCTTTCTTACAAGAACAAAGATCGAACAAGGCCTCTCTGTTCTATACGGTTGTTTCATTTGAATCGACATATCAAAATGAACCTATCCATACTGTTTAAGTCTTGTCACTCTCAATTTCTGGATGTCAATGACGGACTTGAATGGTGCATGTTACAGAAATCCAATTCATCCAAATTATACCAATATGTACGTGTAGTTTGGAAAATACAATATATATACAGTATTTCCAAAACTCTTATATGTACGTCCAAGAAAAACACAAGACAATAGACACCCCGTATAAATTAAACATAATTTATTCTAAACGTTTCGACAAGTGTTACATGTCATTATCAGAATAAAATGTGAACTTTTAAAAAATTACAAATTATAAATAAGATAGTTTAGTTGATATAATTTTTGAAAACTGTAAAATTATTGATCGTTCTAACAATTTGGTCATTATTATTCAAAGTGGTCTATCACATTCACCGTAACTGATCATCCATGGTGTACGCGCGTCACGTGAATAAACAATTTTCCGTTGATTATTTATTGGTTAAATTTAAATGACGTGAATGAACGGTTATTAGCGATCTGATTTATAATTTGTAATTTTGGAAAAGTTCACATTTTCTACTGATGATGGCATGTAACACGAATAATCTTTGATTAAAAAGTTACAGACAGGAAGAATAAAGTTGAAAAATTACTATGTGTCATAGCTTGAATCGAAAGTTGATATATACAGTTGAAAATACTTGTTCGTTCAAAAATGCAAGTTCACAGAACAGATATTTCACTAATAGCTTATTGGCCGAATGCCCTAAATTTTCTAGAGTATTTCTCTTTCTGGCAAAATTTGAGATATTGCTTGCTTTGTGTAAATTGTCTGCAATAAATATAATGTTTTTAAAAATCTATTGTGTACGATAGTTATAATACTTGCCTTGTGCAATCTATTCTATAGCTTTATTGATTGAAATCAGTTCTGAAATCGTGTTCGACATCGCTTCTCAAGTTTCTTCCATCCGGGCTACATGTAGGGAGGCATATTGGGGTATGTGGGTGAAGTGACCTTTAGCTTAACTTAAATTACCGACCAATTAATAACTATGTGTGTGTATAGCATATAAAAATGCAAATTCTTGGGTTCAATTGTGTGATGGCAAAATTTCAACTTTAGAGATACGTTCTTCGATTAGGTTGTAAGGACTAAATAAAATGTGATACAATCTCAATTAATATTTGTTCTTGCATCGTTATTACATATTGAAATGAACAATACCCTGTTTTCTTCGAAAATGTTTAATTCCACTTGAATTAAAAATACGTTAAGCTGTAATGTGTTCAATTAAATACGAATGATGATGTGCAGAAGTAGCATCGCCAGGTTGTTTGGACTGGAGGGGGTGGGGGTGGTGGTGGAAGCACCAGCGATAGGAGACCTCAAAAAGGTTTCGGGTGTATTACTCCTTAAGAATATTTCTCACGAGTAGATTTTATGATAATGTGAAAGCAACACGTATTTAGAATGGCAGCTTTCTTTTAGATGTATTAACAAGTGCAACTAGGTCCATCTTATGGACGATGTTTATAGGTTGCTTT